GAAACATTTCAAATAACTTTAAGTATCTACATTCGCGGAATTTCCGTTCAAACACCCTTTCCCCGGGCACAAAAGGGCTCGGCACCGGGGGCAGATGCTCAGCAGGCGGGCGGCGTTCCGCCCCGGGCTGTGCTAACGGCGTGCCGGTTTCAGGGCGCGGCGTAACACCGAGTCAGACTCCGGGGAGCGGCGTTACACAGTGACACCGGCTCGGAAGCAGCCGTGCGACCCGCGCCGAGCTTCGAACAGACGCCAACCACCGCCACCACCGCCGCCACCGCTCGCCCCACGCCCCTCCCCATCTCCCCCCGGCAGCCCCGGGCACGAAGTCGCCGCCATCCGCCCGCCCGGCCCCGCCGCCCCCAGGAGCCGCCCCGCACCCCGGACCGAAGGGTTCCGCGCCGTCCCCGCCGCGCTGCCGGCCGTACCTGCTGCTGGCGCTCGGGGCGGGCGGGACGCAGCTGCGGGGCGCGGGGCCGGGCACAGCGGGGCAGCCCCGGGGGCGGGCACAGAGCGCACCCCGCCCCAGCCCGGCACCGCCCCGGCCAAGGCCCGGTGGCGGCTCGGCTCGGCTCTGCCCGGCTCTGCCCTGCCCTGCGGCGGTGGAACCGGGACCAGCCCGAGCGGCCGTGATTCCCCCCAGCCCAGCCGCTCGACCACCATTTTGTTCCTCGCTTACCTCGCTCAGCTCAGCCTCCCGAAGCGCGTCCGGGCCGTCCCCAGGCCGGGTGGCGGAGGGAAGGGCCGCTCCTTCGTTCCGTGTCACACGGCGAGCGGCTCCTCGTGTTCCAGCACGAGGCGAGGGCAGCGCGGCTCTGCGGCGCGGTCAGCAGCAAACCCAGCACGGCCAGGCGCTCCCACATCCCGCACCGTGTGCCCCCGCAGGCCGGCTGCCCCGTGCCCCGCTCACGCCCGCGGTAACAAGGCGCCGTTGAGCCCGCAGAACAACGCGGCCCTTCATCCCGGCCCCGCAGTGCCCTGCAGCACGGCAGCCGTGCTGGAAGGGTTCGTTCTGCACCGACAGCTGCTGGGAGACAATGGAGAGAAGGCAAAGTAAGCACGGCTATGTGAAGGTGCCTGCCGCTAGCTCCTGTCATTGCTTTCGGCCCGTGGGAAGCTCTGCGTGGCGCTGATCTTGATTTGTGGAAGGTAACTGAGTCGTCATTTCACCATGTGGACGATCTGTGTTGCCGTACCAGTGGGGAGCCACACGGCCGCCATGTCTTTGAGAGGGTGCTGCTGGTAGTCAGCACAGCTCTATTGCTGCAATGATGTGGGGTTGTGCCAAGGCACAGACTGCCTGCTCTCAAAAGGCTGAAACGCAGCACAGTGTTAAGCTAAAGAAGTGAAGCAGACATCCGCGTTTGAGTGTGATCTCCCAAATAACTCAGATAAACCAGTGCTGCTCGGCTTTGTCTGTAGTTGGGATAAGAGGAGCCATGCTGGGCACAGCGCTTCAGCTGGAGTCATTGCCTTCTGCAGTGCTGAGAGCCATGCTGACAAAAGTGGGCAGGCGATTTACTCCCAGCCTGAACTCCCACTCACTGCCTTCGCTGCCATAAGGGAGGATCGGCTGATTCACATCTACTTGCAGCAGAACTACTGCTGTCATCACAGATATTCTCGTACCGTTATTAAGTTTAATGCAAAGGTTTGAGGTTGTGTACATGCAAATGATGTGGGACTGCCTATTTTCCAGGAGATTAAGGAACTAAAATAAAAGATAAAGAAATTTAATCAACAAAAAGACCACAGACGTTTCTACAGACACCACAAAGCTGAAATGGGAAGAGATGAAAGAAGAAGCTGGCATCTTAAAATCCAATCAGAGAGCAATTAGTCATTTAGAGCAGCCCAGTGCTACATGACCCACTCTCACGCAGAAGTGCAGCATTTCAAAACAGTTCCTGAAATATCCCATGCTTCTGCTTTCTGTAATTGCCTACAGAAACTTGAACACAGCCACAAAAAGAAGCTGGGGGAACAAAAAAGACAGAGGAACCACATCTAAGCAAACATACATTACTTCAGCTTCTATTTCATTGGCTGCCTTTGTGATTCTCCCAATCTGCTGTTACTGCTGCTGGGTAGCTTAGATTTTCCTAACCATCGTGAATTGCTGCTTTCATCTCATCATATAAATGCCAGCAGTGGGTTTTTTCCTTCAATTGTGCTTTATGTATCACTTCTTTCATAAGTTTTCTTGGAATAACTGTGAGATGCTGCATTGAAAGATGTTGATTGTAGATTTTTTTCCTCTTTTTCCTGATTTATTTATGAGAATCTAGTTGAGCATGCAAGCGATCCATTGTCAGAGGTGCAGCAGTATCTGTTTAAAGCAGCTGTCCCACCCAAGTGGGAGCATACTCTTCATTGTTCATTACCCATTGGTCCCCGCATGTCACTGAATATAGTTTGTAGACTCCTCTGAGAAGAGCAGAATCCACAAACCTTCTATCAGCTGTGTTAACTCTGAGGCTTTGTTTTTTCCTGGGCTTTGTGGTAAAAAATAATAATAATTAAATTCAAGAGCAATACTTTTGTGAGCAGGAAAATCTGGGTGCTGTTCTTTTTTGACAGAGACTTCAGAAAGAGACACGTAGAAATGGATTCCAAGAGCAGGCTGCATTACCCAGCAGAAATCCACAAAGAAGGGTGGGATGATGCGCGGTATTTCATCTCCAGCAGTTTGGTATTGTTACCAATTTAGTGGGATTTAATTACTGTTGTTAGATTCTGCTCAGATGTTCAGAAGGAATAAGCTGCAGTCAGCCTTTTCTCAATAACTGCTGTTAAGAAACTGCTGCAAGCTTTCATGTACTCACAAGAACACGAGAACCAAAGAAGTAAAGACGCCATTATCCAATCTTCTGCCTCGCTGCCATCTTTTGTGTCCTTCAAACTTTACAGGAAGGTTTGATAAAAATATACAAACTGACTCAAAACCAGACCCTTCAAGGCAAATCTGCGTTGCCTTTCAGCTCATCTGACAGACGCTGACAGTTTGATATGAAATATGTCACAAAATCTGAGTTTCAGATGAAAAAGATCATCTCAGTTGCAGTCAGAGAACGGCTTCTAACTTTCTTTGTTGCAAATCAGAAATAACAATGATTACTCATATATTCTAAAACTACTTTTCACTGTGTTCAGGATTAAAGTATGCCCTCCTCAACCCGGCCCTGAGATTAAAGAGGTTCGGAGAGCTGCTGAGTAATCCTGAAGATATGTGTGACCACAGGAGGGAGCAGCGCTTGTCCTGTGCTTGTCCTGCGTTAGGGGAGCAGCTCAGATCTGGGCGGTGGCATCGCTCAGCCCCAGTGAAGGCCAGGAGCGTTCTGTGACAGCTCAGCGTGCAGTGCAATGGCCAGGACTGCTCGGAATTGTGGCTGGGAAAGAAGACATGCAGCTCCTCACGGCCTCTGCAGCCTGCGCTCCTTCCTGGGCAGCACAGAGCATCGCATAGAAACACAACAGCTCACATTGTACAGCTACACTACCAAGGCTGAGCATTAAATAAAAAACAATCAGCAGATTTTTGTGTGGTGTTTTAGCAATTCATAATTTTAGGACCTTTGAAAACTATCTTTTATATAAAAACTTTCTAGTCCGTGTCGGTAATATCTGGGGGAATACCAAGCACTGTGGTTTTTTACAGACAGAAAACTAGGCTGTAACTGGGTCAAAGTAGTCAGATCATTTTGTGTTTAAAGACTCCCTCTTGTGGAAATCATTCTTACCGACTTGTTTTGACCTATTTTTCTCGTAAAAATCACTCCATATATGGTACTGCTAAACTTTAAATACTTCTGTAGCACAGCGTTACCTATTTAAAAGGAAGACCCTGACAAGAACAGCTGTGAAAAAAGGTGAACTGACAGTAATAATACAACTGTAGCATATTGCTGGTAATTTTATATCTTCCTACCGATATACTTATTATTTGGACTATTATGTATTTTAAGTGTGGATTTGAGAAAAAAAACATCACCAAAACCACAACGTTAGTTGTTTTTTTCTGTGTGTTTTCCATCGTGGTGACAGCCTGCAGCCCGGCTGATGCGGAGCTGAGCATCCCATGGATCCACAACAGGCTGGGTAACCTTTAGGGAAGGGGGACTCATGGAAAGCAGTCATTTAAAGAGTTTGCTGTAGGAAACACCAGGTAGAGAAGAGCAGGTGATCCGCCTGGAACTCTGCTGGTCTTAATGTGGAACATTCAAAGCTATTTAATATTAAAGATCTCCGTAATTTCTCTGTGAGAATCTGCAGAAGTTTATGGAATTGGAGATAAGCAGAATCTGCCCTAGTGGTACTTTTATTGCCTATGTCGTCCCCTCATCTACAGATTTAATCTTTATTTAATCCCGCATACTGCGAGGTTCTCACAGCACCTCGTGTGTTCGCGTCTGTGGCACAGCCCGTCCCGCGGGCCGTTACACAGCCAGGTAAACGTGATGCAATATGGAACTGCGGTGTTGTCTAAAAGCAGAAATTGAGAAATGATTGCGAGCCGTTGCTGGCTGTGGCGCTGAGCTCTGAGGCCGCGGCACAGGGCAGCGCCATTCCTGCGGCTCCCTGAGGGCTCCCAGGAGGATCGGATTCACCTCAGCGCCCCCTCGTTCCCGCCACACCCGCTCGGCCTCTGCGGAGCGAGACGTCGCCTGTCGCCACAGCCTTGTGGGCTCAGAGCTCACGCTCAGCGTTCCGTACCCGGCGTGTTGCTCGTGAACTCGGGGCACTCGGCTGCTCCCCGCGCCCACCCGAGGAGGCGATAACACCGCCTGAAGAGACGCGGCCGCTCCGCCCCGCCTCGCCCCGCCCATCGCCTTCCCGCCCGCCCCTCGGCGCGCGCCAGGCGCAGGGCGGGAGCTGCGTGCGTGCGTGCGCGCGGCCGCCTCGCGCCCTTCCCTTCCCGCCCCGCGACGCCGGCGGGAGGCGGGGCTTTTCCCGCGATTGGCTCCGTGGCGGCCTCTCGCGCCCACCTTTGTGCAGCCCCGCAGCCCGTCGAGAGTGGGAGGGGAAACCCCGTGCGAGGGGCGCCGCCATCTTGGATAAGGGGGGTGATGGGGGCGCAGTGGAGCCAGCGGAGCAGAGCCTGAGGGAGCGCCGGAGCGAGGTGGGGACCCGGCCCGGCCGCTGCCCAGCACGAGCAGAGCGCTCCAGTGCCCGCAGGGCGACCGGGCTGCAGAGCCACGCTGCACGGCGACGCGTTTCCCGAGCCCAGGTAAGGAGGAGCCGGGGATGGGCGGTGCGGAGCGCCGGGCCCCGCCGTACTGCTGGGCGGCAGCGCGGCCCTGCCCGGCTCCGCGTCCTCCCGGCGCGGCGCTGCTCGGGGCGCTGCCGCTCAGGGCTGCGGGCCGCCGTTCGGCCTGGCGGTGGCGGAGGGCCGCGGTGAGGCGGGCGGGCCGGAGCCGGGAGCGGGGCTGGGCCGCTGTGCGCTGCCGGCCGCCTCCCTGCTCTGCACCGCCATCGCCGGGCGCTGGAGCACGGCGGTGTGTGGGCTCGGTGATCGCTGCAGTGTGCTGCCGTGCGCGTTACACAATGTGGCCGATTTGCGCTGTTATCTCCGCTCGTTCTTATCCCGGCCCGCGCTGTTGTCGTGAACTTTGATAGAAAAACAACTTTTGGGGTGCGGGTGGAGTGAATCTATGCCACTTCCTATTTGAGGAGGCGATATAAGCGTTCTGTGCTCGGCTTCCTTTTGTCAAAGCTGCTGTTGCCGAAGCGGCGGTTCCTTGCTTTCACCTATTTGCGTTACATAGCTTTGACTGGAATTGAAATCATGCTGCTTTGTCCTTGCAGTAAAGCCAGGAAAAATGTGTCTGTGTTGAGGTTTCTTGTGGCTGCGTTGCTCTGGAGGTTCCTGGATGAGAACTCTTTTCTTTTTTTGTGCTGTGTTGCTGTGGTTCTTGCAGGTGTAGAAGGAAGTACATCTCTGTGCAGGAGGCTGAGGTTGCCCAGATCCTAAATCACTTTGAACCTTGAGCCGAAATGTAGCTCTCATGGTTAGTCTGAGTTGTGGTGTGGGATGTGTGCCTTGGGATCTTTCTGTCATGGTGAGGACTGGGGCCTGCTTGTGCTTGGGCATTGCTTGGGAATGGGAAGGAAATCCCAGTACTGAAGGGCTTAGAAAATAATTATCATGTAGCCTAATATGATTTAGTAGTTTCCTGTAGGGATTTGAACAATTCATAAATCTGAGTTGAAGGAAGAAGCTCTTATTTTTTTTCTCTTTTAAGAACTGTAAAAAAAAAAAAAAGTGGGTATTTTGAAGGACAGCAGTTTGAAAAGAAACCTGTTATACTGGCGGTGCTGGGATTCAGAATGTAAATTGAACTTCTGAAGCTGCTTGCTCATTCATGTGCATCAAATGGAACTCACGATTGTTTCTCTTTGCTGTGTGTTTGTGGAACAAAGGAAGTGGACCTCAGTGTTTCTCTGTTTCCCCCCTCCTCCCTGAGGTAATGACGCTCAACAGTTGTGTGTTGCTCTGATTGATGATGCTGACAGTATCTTCTGTATATACTGACCCTAAGCTCATCTGAGATCTCTGGAACTTTGCTCCTCTGCCTCCAATGTAGGTGTGTGCTGCAGGTGGGAGTCTCTTATAGAAAGAGGAGAATAGGGTGAATGAGGCTGTGTGCATACAGAAGTGCGGTTGCACCTAAGTGCAGGAAGCTTAGGAAACAAGATGGCAGAGCTTGGTGAAGTGAACCTGTTGAAGAGTTTCACCACCACCATGTGCAGCTGGACAGCTGTTGAGGCGAATCAAAAAGTGGCGGTGGCATGATACAGTCTCTTTATTTTAAATCAAAAGTGCTTGGACTGTGGGTTCTTCCAAAATCCTGACTCAGACTGAGGCCTAGTAAGTGTATTTAATGTGATCATGAAACAATGGAACAAACCTATTCCTTCAAAAACAGCTGAAAGAAGGTCCTGCTCAGCTGCAAGCTCACCAGTCTCAGCCCAGCAGCGTGCTGGCCTTATGCATTTCTAGAGAGAATAGCTGGGAATTCTAGCACATTTCTAGAGAGAATGTGGGAAATGAGGAGCTGCAGAATGATCTTCAAAAGCAGATCATGAGAGGCTTGTCCGACTGTTAGCTCTGATTGAAGACCACTTCAGCCAGATTTACTGTCTTGTGCTTTATCAGATGCTTTAGTGAAGCCCAATCAGGGGCACTAGAGAGGATGACTGCAGAAGAACTGAGGAATGAGTAAGGAACTGGCCAGCAAGAAGTGATGTTATGAAAGCACAAGCTGCTAGCAAGTTGCTAATGGCACTCCTCTGGGATCAGTCTTATACATTGGGCTTTTTACAGACAAACATACCAAAAATAATAACTGAGGGGAATCAGTGGTGGCTGTTAGGCTGTTCTGTTTATGAGGGTTGAGATGTTCATACGTTTAGCAACATCTCAATCTCCTTGGTGCATGAGGATAATAGAACATCAGTGAAGTTTAGTGGTACCCTGTAGCTTGCTATAGACAGCTGACTGATGGGAGTTTACCACTTGAGCGTATTAATTGATGATAAAACTGTTACTGCCCTCCAGTGTCATATGACTTTACAGAAGACCACAAGTGGTGCAATTACAGACTGTGCTTCCACTAAAGGAAGATCTGAGTTACGTCGCCCTGCTTTGTGTGCTTGACAAAAGTCTTCATCAGAGGAATAGTATAAGTTGAAACAATTGTCTCCCTGGATTTCCCTCCTTCCTGTCCTCCCTCCCCTATTGTTCTCTTCTCAGTGTTCAGTGCAAATTGATGCTTAAGAAAGTATGCAGAGAAGAGAAGGAAGGTTATGTGGTGGGAAAGAGCATAACAACCCATTCATTTTATGTGAGGATTTAGAACTTATTCTAAATAATAGTTACTGATTGCATGTAGTTCCACTTGTAACTAATCTTTTTTTTTTTTTTCTTTCCACAAATGAAAGTACTAATAGCTCTTAAAGAGTTGCAGTTTCTGAAAGTGATGTGATGGTATTCTCTTCTATAGAGGTAGGACTGAACTTGACCTCTAAGGTTTCTCTGCTGAAGTACATTCCTGAGGAATGCCCCAAACCACCTGGGTGGCCAGATAAAATACAAACATCTCTGGCTCCAGACTAACTGAAGTGGTTGTCTGGCTGCAGTGGTGTGTTTTTAAGGAGAACCTATAATATTCAGACTGTCCTGAGGCTGAGGTATCATCTGTGTGGGCTGAGAGGTAATGGTATTCAGCACATGCAGTGATGACAGATTCCAGTCCCTCCTAATAACATACAGTTTCTAACTTTGCATAAAGCTGTGAAGATTCTCTATGCAAACAATACCTATAGAATACCTAATGGGCTGTGTCCCTGAGTTGGGCTAGGAGAAGCTGCACGGGCCTCATGGCAGTTGGGGCAGGTGTGATATTAACAGTTAATTCTAGGTGCATTGCTATAAAGCTCATAATAAGAGCAAACTGTCTTATCTCAGTTTATACAGGTAGATGGTGGTGTTTGAAACAGGACTTTGGAGAGATGTGAAAATACTGGCACGGTGCTTCTTGTTTAGAGGAAGAAATTGCAGTGTCACCAATATCTTGTAATAAGAGAAGGCAACCTTAACAAGGAAGCAGAGATGATGTATGGAAAATGGATGACAGTGAAACATATGGTAAAAATTCCTGTCCCAGTTGTGACACAGAAATTAATTGTACAGGTTTTGAAGCTAGCAAAGATCTGTGTACAGTGAAGCATGATCCTCTGGCTAGTTGCCATCCTGAAATAATGCTCTAAGCTCTGGGGAAGCATTACCTCGGCAAAGGGAGCTGGAGTTGTTCTGAGTTGGCAGATTTTCCTGGAAGAAAGATGGCAGGCAGACCATGCTCCCAGACAAAACTACTTCTGCTTTCTGTTACCAGTAAATGTATGGCCGGTTAACTTTGGCACGTTGTATAACGTCAGCTGTGGCTGAAGGTAACTTATGCAGGCTTGGATGTGACTTCTTCAGTCCTGCAGTTCCTTCTGCCACCACTCCTGCTCACCAAGGAGGAAAACTGAACACCTATTTTGGGAGTGTGAGAGGGAACAGAGGGCTGTGGAGGGGTGTAAAGCACCATTTTCTACAGATAACTGATTCTATTGACAATGCATGAACCCTCTGCACTAGCATGTAGCTGATTTTTGTGGTTACTGAGTTCTGTCTGGACTTCCTGCTTTTGTCTATAGTGAATGCTGAGCTTGGAGGTTTCTTAAGGCTGAATTCTCAGTGTCTTCTGTGTTGTCATGCTTTTTTTTCTTCCTGTACATTGCAGAGCATTTCTGATCCAGCTTTATTTTTAGAACTTGGTTGTCTTACAGCAGGGATTATGTACATTCATTTAGTGAAATAAAGAAATGGTGTAAAGTTGTGAAAAGTTTGGAATGTCATTACTAGCAAGGTTCTGTTCTGCTAAGGAGGTTAATATGCTGTTAATAGTTTAATCCCAGAGTTACAGACAGTAAGAACATCTCTTTTAATATGTTCATTTCGGCTGTGTTATTTATCTATATTAGGGTAAAAAAAAAAAAAAAAAAACACAAAAAAACTGGGATGTCAATTTAATGCCAAGATATAATTTGGGATGTTTCAGAATCTTGTCTGTAGCAGACCCTTGGAACAGGCTTTGCACTGATGCATTGCTTTTCTTTCTGTATCTGCTTAACTCAAGGAACTGCTTAAAGCTGGACTCTGTGTCTCCTTGAGCTTTCAATAAATGTCTGCCATGCACTGTTAGAGCCTCTCCAGGAGCTGTGACAGACTTGAAAAGTCTGGGCTCATCAGATCAGTGCATTTCTCAGCATTTTTACCAACATTCTATTTCTTTGAGCTGGGGAAGGGGGCTCACTGGCTCTGGTTGCACACAGTGAGCCCTGTGTTCTCTCTCCCCTCAAGCAGCCTCATCTCACTAAGAGTGAGGGTGATGTTGTCACAGTGAGATGTGGACCGAAAGTAGTTAGCCCTTCCAACCCATTTCTTAACAGACTTTGTTACCAAGTGCAGGATGTGGTTTTCTAACTCTTGCTTTGAAGTGGGAACTGATTTTGATGCATATGTTACAAAGCAGTGACAGTTTCTTTCATATCAAAATAGTGCAGTTGCAGACCTCTTTAAGTAAGGAGTATAATGAAAGTTGGCATAGCTCAGCAAGTAAAAATGGTGTCAAGTAAACAGAACTGTATATTTAGCAGTAAAGACTCTTCCCAGATTTTATGACACAGCCTGCACAGAGCTCCTGGTCTGTCCATGCTTTTAATAAAAGGAAGGCTTCCTCACCTTCCAGCAGTGCTTCTCAAAAGCTTAGGCAGTGCAGCATCTTCCTTGTGTACTGCGTTATTGTATGGTCAGTGTTCAGAAGCACTAAAATTGAGTATTTCTGAGTACTTAGAGCATTCCTTAGCCAACTGGTACTGGGAGAAGAGAGATGGACAGCGGGGTTTCCTCAGGACAGATCTCACAGCTGTGTGGGTAGCTCCCTTTTCCCTCCAGAAAACCAGTATAGGTTGATAGATACCCTTAACAGGGCATGGGGCTGTCAAAGTAGGTCTGTGTTGGTGCTTTCTGTCTCTTCAGCTTTATGTTGTGGCTGTAGGATGTGTTTTTTTGGGGAGGGGAGGAGGGGGGGGGAGGGAATACTGCATTTCTGCTATCTTCCCAGAGGATTTGCAAACATAAGTTGGCCTATTCAGGTTCTTTTTTTTTTCTTTTAATTCACTTCCACACCTCATAATTCTCTGCTTTAGCCTTGTCTGCCATCAGACTGAACTGCAACAGGAATGGTAGAAGTAGTGTATTGGGTCAGGAGGTGTAACTGGGGCTGGTGGAGAGGAGGGATGGGAAGATACATTTGAATGTTCTGAAGTATACTTCTGCAGTAACTTCTGTGCATTAAAATCTCAAATGTAGTTACTTGTCTTTCTTTGCCAGTGTTGGAAACAACCAGTGTGTGTACTGAAGCTGACACTGTAGCTTTGGAGCTGTTCACTTGTAGGAAACATGGGCTGAAGTTGTTGGCTTGCTGGATAGCAGGTTGGGGCGGCACATCTGAAACCAGGAATGTGAGCTGTGCTGCAGTGCTGGAAAGGACTGAACAGCTGTGCCAGACTGGGGCCTGGGGGTGACAGAGGTGTGGGGCAGCTGTGTGCTATTTCCTCTGCAGCTGTGGAAGAACTTGATGTAAAATCACCTTGATTGAAATGACAGTTCTTAGAACCACACAGCACCTAGTCTGGAATCTTGTTTTTGCCAGCATGGACAAGAATGACTCTCCAAGATTGTTGGGCTTTTTTTGTTTACTATATTGCATTAAAATTGGATTGAAACGTGTGTGTCTGTATAGGACTTAATGGAGGTACTTTGCTTACTGCTTGGGCTAGAAGGTCTCTAGAACTCCTGTATCTTGAGGAAGGCATGATGGAGAACTGCAGATCCACAGCTGGCGTCTGGTAAATGTTTCTCACCTTCCCCTTGGAGCTGTTCTCCTCCAAGGTCTAGATATGAGTGTTTGCTTTAAACCTCTGCTTTGTGAAGTGGTGGCTGTCAGCTTGTGCCCTGTGAGTGAGGTTTGTAGTCAGTCACCTTAAGACAACAATTCACAGCTATGGATTAATGTTGGCTGAGGAAACATTTGCTTTTCAAAAAGGTTCAGGCTCATAAGTTTCCTTGTTTTCACTTCTTTGCTGCTGCGGTTTGTCATGTGGATGACACATGGCTGAATGGAATTACCTTCCTAGGCTGAGGCCATGTTGTCTATTAAAAGTGCTGTTTTGCTAATGGCTGGCTATCCGCCATACAGGAGCAGGAAAGGAAATGGTGAATTCCTAATAGAAACTTCCTATTTGCTTAAATGATGGCACTTACATCTTGGTTAAATTAAAGTCTGGGACAAAAGCAGTCATTTTGCTCCAGGATGACAAAAATAATAAATCTGAGCAGTGTAGATCTGTAATCCTGCTTATGTGGTGTAGTAGTGATAAGTAGTTTACACAGCTGAGGCCACTTTTAATTCCTCCTACATGTAGGGAAATTCTGCAATGTTGGAAGTATTTATCCCAAACAAATTCTAATCACTATCACACTATCATTTAAATCCTCTATGGAGCAAAGGTTAGTGAATAAATCAGTGAGCTGTACTGTTTGAAACAAGAGTTGCTAAGTTTTGGGGTGATCATGCTCTGCTGGCAGAGCCACAGGTGTGATGACTGATTTCCTGAGTGCCTCCTCTCCACTTAGGCTGCTCCGCGGATGTGGACATGCAGAAGTCCAAGCTGCAGTTAATGCTGCTGCAGCATTCCTGTGCTGTATTAAGTAATTCTTAACTGCTTAATGCAAACTGTGCTGTGTTTCTGTTGCAAGTCCCAAAAGTGTGTGGTGATCATTCCAAACCACTGGTTTTATTAAACCTCTTCAGATAATTTTTTCTTTCTGGGGGTCAGCTCCCATCAGCTATTGGGCTACTGAGTACTGGACTGCTTGGTGACCATTTAAATCAAGAACCTGCTGGAGCCTTCGATGGCTTAAAGGTTTTCCTGATGACACTTAATGGGTGTCAGTACTAAAAACATTTCTGCTTAGAGTTCTTGCTGATGGGACTTGGTATGGGAGTTCTGCTGAATGCTGGGAAGTGCAAAAACACTTCAACTGTGAATGAGAAGTTGGTTGGAGGAGGGAGAGGAGGGGAGAAGTTTTTTTTTCTTGGTTTATGTGGGCTCAGATGGCTGACATGGGTTCAGTTCAAATAAGCAGCAGTTCTGAAAGGTTCTGCTTTGTTTTTGATTTTTAGTGCCACAATGGCAACTGCACCTTACAACTACTCCTACATCTTTAAGTACATCATTATTGGTAAGTACTGAGATATCATGTTTATGCCAATATCTGTGTGTAACGGCGTGCCTCCAAACTACTGCTGATTTCTGTTGCAGGTTTCTTGCTATATAGCATTAGCCCTTTGAGTAGTTCTTCATCCCACCTCAGTCCCTCATAGATCACCATGTTTGCCCTGAAGCTTTAGCAGCTGATAAAAATGAATGCAAATGCTTTGTGTGCTGCTGTGACTGCTGCCAGGTGGGGTGGGAATAAGGCTGGTTGCTTATCTATATTTTTGATAGACTCTACTTGCAATTGCAAGTAATGCAGCAGGAGGGCGAGCACTCAGTGTGGTGTGTTTCACAAGGTCAAAATAAGCTGACCTGCAAGAAACTGAAGCACAAGTGTAAAGTCAGTAATGCAATTATCATCATTTGTGTATTTTCTGCTCCACCCTTGCTCGCAGCTCTGTACCTGTATCCAAAATTATAGCATGGCTGTAGTGCTGATAAATCCTGAAGGCTGTAGCCAGGTGAAGGAAGTTAGGAAGTCGCATGTTAGACCTGAGAAAGGAACGGCTGCCTGTCCCTGTATGTGTGTTGTGTGGGATGAACAGAATGTGCTCATTGTGATGATTTGATGTCTGCCTTAACTGCTCTTTCTGTAACAGGGGACATGGGTGTAGGAAAGTCCTGTTTGCTTCACCAATTCACGGAAAAGAAATGTGAGTATTTCAACACATAATGTTCATTGAAACTGCTGTACTTCATCTCTCTTTCCTGCCTTTCTGCTTCTGTCATAGGTGAGCTTGATGTATATCTTAACGTGGGTAGGTTTGTACTGTGCTTGGTCAGGCTTCTGTTTTGACATCTGCTATTACAGACACAAAATGCCAATGTAGTAATAGCAAGAATGATGTCAGTTCTATCTGAGAATGGGAAGAATATATGCATTTCTACAGCTTTTCCAGGGAATTGTGATATGAAATAGTGAGATCTATTGTTTAAAGTTTGCATGTATTTAATATTGGTATGGCTTAAACACAGCTGTAGTTTTAAAAATTAAGTACTTAAAAGGGGTGGGGAGATTCACTTTTCATAGACTGCAGATTTAAGCATTGTCATTCTCTGTAGCTGCTGTGACTCATGGCACTAGGACTGCTCCTGCGTGATGGTGTTCAAGGCTTTCAGCATTCCGTCTCAACTGTAATATTTCTTCATGTATGCTATCATAGCTAATTAAGAATTAGCTTCAGCTCTTCCTACTAATGTGCATTGTATTGGAGTTTGCAGTGGCTGTTACGAACTCCTATGACTTCCCATGTAGCTCACGCTCAATGGATACGTCTGTAGTTATTTGTTAGTACAAAGCTAGTCTTTATCTTGCACTACTCTGGATGTGCAATAACTTGTGCACGCTGCAGATTAAATGTTCCTGTTTTGTAGTAGGAAGTGAATTTTTAACTGCTGCTTTGAATCCAAACCCCAGATAACCCACTTGTTTAAGTGCTACTTTGCATATGGTTCCATTTATGAACAGGCAGTGACTTGTTCTTACGGTGTGTTAAGCAGGAGGGGTGCAGTCAAACAAGCTGATTTATAAAACATCTCTGCTATGGGACTCTTCAATAAAGGTGGTATTCAACCTTTCTCTATTTTCTTGACTGCTCGTAAAGATGAGTGTCTTAAGATGGATTTATTGTAATCAATCAGATGCCTTTTAGTCATGAAATTGACTTTTCATGGATGGTCACGGACTTTGCTCAGTCTGAACCAACTTGAATATTTGTTTCTCAACTGTTTCAGGCTTTTAACCCTATCTTGGTAATTCTCTAAAGCTCCCTTATCCTACTGCGTTAAAATAGTTAACCATTTCTGCAAGGGCAGGGCTGAGGATCAACTGACTCAATACTTTCTGATATGCATGGTGTCAGTTATAAATGCACTGGGGAAGACAAGGAATCTTTTTATTCTTCTTAAAACAGCAGTTCAGGAAGTAATTCATTAAGTGGTACAGTTCAGTTACTGTAGCTGTAAAAAGGCCTTCTTAGAGAAGGAAGATCTGTTCAAGATGTCAGGAAGGCAGTGGTAGTAAGATCTCTGTGGCAAGGATGCTCTGTACTACAAAGATCTGATCTTCCCTCTTATTTTTCATGACAGTTATGGCGGACTGTCCCCACACAATTGGTGTTGAATTTGGCACAAGAATAATTGAAGTTAGTGGCCAAAAAATTAAACTACAGATCTGGGATACAGCAGGACAAGAGAGATTCAGGGCTGTCACACGAAGCTATTACAGAGGAGCAGCAGGAGCTCTCATGGTCTATGACATTACCAGGTAAGGTGCTGCTGGCTGTCTCTATCATCACTGTGTTCTCTGGAAGCTCCTTGGGTACTGCAGGCTTCTATGTGCTGCTCTGTCCCCTTGACTTCACCAGAAGACTTGATGTCATGTTGTGTGAAGGTTACCACCCTTCTTTTCCTGAATATTTGAAGTGTTTAAGAGCTGAAAATGGAATGTAGGGAACTGAGTGCTTTTCTTGGAAAATGTCACTGGTGACAAACCAAAGGATACTGTGATTTCAGATCTTGGCTGCCTGTGTTGAAGTTGGCTAGAAGATTAGCTTTACCCTTGCCTGCAGTACATGAGCTTTTCACTTGCTAGTGATGGAGGGAAGCAGTGAATGCTGCTGCTTACCTAGTGAAAATATTCTGAGTAGGCACAGAACAGAATATTGCTTCTATTGCAGCGGGCTGTGCAAATGTGTTTAATGTATGTGTGAGGAAATGGAGGAGTAGCCCATGAAGAGGCCCAGAAGTGAGACTCCTTCAATGAAAGGAGATGGCACAGAAGCTATTCTGTTCTCCGTTTGGAAACGAAAATTAAAGATGCTTCTGGGAGAACAATTTATCAGATGTGCAGTGTGAAATACTTCTGCCTTCCTGTATCTCCCACCGCATCTTCCATTGAGGCTGTTCTTGATGTTCTTTGTGCACTTCTTATCTTTTGTATACATAAATGTATCACCTGTTTGCTTAAATACAAAAGCAAACGATGTGATATGCGGTTTGTTGCCGAAGTTCTGTATGGAGCTGTACTGCTGTACCCAGCTCTCTAACAGTATCTGACAGGAAATCCTTTAATGTGTTTTATATAACACAACATGAACGTTGTCCTTGTGGAGACAGTAATACCACCACGGACTGGAGTGTGAAGTGGTCTGTCCTTCCACTTTGTTTGTGTTGCTCTGTGGCTTGAAAGCTAGTTTGTTGAAGTCTTGGTACATGTCCAAACAAGATGCTGCTGCTCCCTATTTCTTGAACTGGGGAGAGGAACAGGTATGATGTGTTAATGTGCTTAATGGATGCTAACTATGCTGATGGCACTCAAATAGTTAAATTGTAGCTAAAACCTGTACTCACTTGATTCTTTGCAGAAGAAGTACGTATAATCACTTAAGCAGCTGGCTGACAGATGCAAGGAATCTCACCAATCCAAATACTGTAAGTTGGACTCTATTTAGCTTGAAAGCAAGATTGCTTATCTCAAAGCAAGAGATAGAAGGCTTAGGTCAAAGCATCTGCAATGATAGTATTCTTTAAAAGGAACTGCCTGTGTTTCTCAACTACTTAGTTCAGAATGCCCTCACTCTCCAGCAGATCAGTAGCTCTTTCCTTATTGCAATTGGTGCAGAAATGTAGGTTTTTGTGCAGTAGAACAATGGCTTATTTCAAAAATCTTAGTGTGCTTCACTTCTTGTGGGCCTTCTTCCAGCTGTTGGAGACCAAAATTATGGTAACCTCTGGAAAGAGCTTAACTTCTGTTACTACTGCTTACTGCCTTGTGGTGGTAACAAGGTGAATTGGAATGTGAACTGAATCTTGAGCAGAAGCTGTCCTGGTCTTTGGAGGAGTGGGAAGGAGGGCTGTTCTGCATCTTTCTGTCTAAGCAACAAATCTGTGGTCCTTCAGTCTTCTTGTGCGTGACCCTAAAATGCTTTAAAACCAAGCTTTTGGGAAGACTCCCTACTGCAGTGAAAGAGAACTTGTAAAGATTCAGGTTGGATTAGCAGATGACCAAACACACGATGTAAAACTTTCAGGACTGAAGAGTAGGACTGTTGCTTTCTAGGACCTCATCTCATGAGAACGGCTTAAAGAATTTGAAGATAGCAGCTGTTCCTGACTACAGAGGGGCAGCACTGCCCTGAACATACGAGTTCTGCAGTTATGCTTTTTCAAATGTTTCCTTTTTATTTTTCATCTTTTATAGTGAAGAGGGTAGCAGTGATGAAGCTAATGAGCTTTTTCTCAGGCTAATTTTCTCTCTTCTGAACTAGGTGATAATCCTCATAGGAAATAAAGCAGATCTGGAAGCACAGAGAGATGTTACATATGAAGAAGCCAAACAATTTGCTGAAGAAAATGGTGTGTTTTTCTTTCTCCTCTTGAGCCATTGTTTCGTATGTGATAATGATATTAAAATGAACACTCGCCCAACAACTTATGAAGTTATGCTGTTATATGTATGAACTCATGTGGTGCCTCAGCCTGTATTAACTTCATCTGCTTAGCTTTGGAAATCAGTTTGTGTATTGATGATGCCCCAACTTTGTCATAAAACATCATGGAGTACTAAAGTAGCCTTTTGCACATAACTGAATGCCATAATGTGACTATTTGGGACTATATTAAGCATATTATGCCTTGACTGACAGTTAAATTTCTGTTTCTAAACAGGTTTATTGTTCCTTGAAGCAAGTGCAAAAACGTAAGTTACTTCTTCCTAGAGTAATGTGTCAGATGTTATATTTAAAAAGAATACATTGGTTATGGGTAAATACAGCCACAAGGTTCAAGTGTAATACTGTTTTACAAGCAAAAAAAAAGTCACTTTGTTTTAGCTAGAGCTTGTTTCAGCCTCAAATGGATGAGCATGTGTGCTTAATGGTGGTTCCCAAGAAGCCATGACTTCCCTCAGATGTTTCGAGCTCTCTAAGGGAGTGCTCAGTTCTTAATCTCACAAAGGAATCACCACGCAGTGCTCTTGGTAGGCTCTGCTGGTTGAATGCAATGTTGACAGAATGCAAGGGATTGGATCTCCAGTGATGCTGGATGTTCCAGCTGGCACTTGTTCTAACAGAGCTTCCTAACAAAATGATTCTGACTAACAAATACTTCGCTGTCTCTTGACCTCTCAGAATTGTTCTGGACATACAGCTCAGTGCCTTAGCTTATTTCTGATATTCAGAGTTGAGATACAGAGTGGTGTTCAGGGCTACTTCTAATGGATGTAATGGCTAGGGACTGAGTTACTGTATTGGAAACTGTCCTGCATATGGGCTGTTAAACCTCATGGCATGTCTGCTTTTACCTACTGCAAGTTCTGTTGCTTGAGACAGAAGCAGTGAGGACATCCAGCCAACCGCCTGTGTACAGCCTGTGTTGCTTTGCTGAAATGTAACCTAAGTAACTCCTGCTGCTCTTCTTGTAGTGGAGAGAATGTTGAGGATGCATTCCTGGAGGCTGCCAAGAAAATCTACCAGAATATCCAAGATGGAAGCCTGGATCTGAACGCTGCAGAGTCGGGTGTACAGCACAAACCATCAGCTCCGCAGGGGGGGCGGCTAACCAGCGAACCCCAGCCCCAAAGAGAAGGCTGTGGCTGCTAGTGACCTCTTTCATGGCTTCATTTCTGACCTTTCACCTCTGTCTGTTGGGAGCAGTGCTTTTGATTGCTTCCCTGTCTTCTGTACATCTTATTGGGTTTAATTAAAACTGAAACAAGTTTAACACAGTACTAAACTGCTAAACAACTTTAGATGTAATCAGGTTATCAAAGGCAAGTAGAGTAATAAAACCTCTCCTGCATGGTGAATCTAGAAGTTTTTTTTCCTTGATTGTCCTTGTGATAGTGTCACAGATACATAATTTAAACTGAGCACTGATGCTGGACTCATGATTTTACACTTTTGCAGGGCTTTGTCTTGTACGGTTTAATTTTATGGTTCTTCAGCCTTTCTTCCCCACCTCTTAACTGTGTAGAGCTGTCCATAGTAAAGGATAAGTTTTTTTGTTTTTTTTTTTTTGCTGTGAAATGACTTCTGATGGTAGAAAGGGGCTCCGTACCAATGTGCTTTGTTGAAAGAATTCCCCATGGTGTGCATGTTGGGGGCAGGGGGGGCTGGCGCAGGAGTGTACAACTTGCACAGGGAAACAAACATTCATTCTTGTGCTCATAGCTTTACATCATTTTTTGCCACTTTTATCCATTTGCTAACAGAACGTAAATATGTATAAAATTTGAAGGAACTGAGCTAACAGTTAAATACATCCTGTGTATATGATTTTAATGAAGAAAATGATTACTGGCATTAGAACAGTATATAAGAAAATATCAGTTTGTACAGTATGACCTGTATGTGACCACATTGCCCATCAGTACAGACATAGGTGTAACTGCAGTTCACTAACAGCAGCTTAACTCCTTGGTGTTGACAGTGGACATTGTGCTGGGGGAACTCTAATCCCAGTGCTGAAATTAACACTAGTGGAATCTGTCCTTCATCTTTGCACTGTGGTATATCTATGCCATGTTATTAATCCTGTTCTGTGCAATCAGCAGTGTGCTAACCTGCTTTTTTCTTCTGTAAGCATTTCGCATTATTGGGCTTCATTACCTGCCTTGCTTTGTATACCAAGGCTGGTTCTCTTGCACATCTTATGCTTTTATACCTTTAACTTTTTGAATGGTCAGATATTGAACTGGACAGTCAGAACAACTTGTGTTCTCTAGGGAGTTGTAGCTACTGTTGTATTTTAACACTACAGCTGAGGGCTTCTTCTAGGTTTCTTCTTGAAGAGTACCACCCTCCTGGGCTGGCATGTGTGCTACTTCTGTAAAGGGGAGATAGCAAAACCCATGTGTGTACATGACAGACTATGTGTGGGATTTATTGTGTTGTCAGGACTAGAATGTGTCACTCTGTATGCAGCACTGTATGTCACATATAGCTTAATTTAAGAATACACTGAATACAGCTTCAAAAAGGAAAGGGTAAGTGTTTAACCACGATCAGATGCCCAACTTCTAGTCTTACTGCAGTGTTTAAAATACAAAGTAGTCTTAAATTCCTTTTCTAGACACTAAAACTCTAAACTGTTCAGACATGTAAGTCAACAGTGGTACCAGAGTATTGTACAGTCAATGTTAAATAAAAGCCAAAAAAACTGGAATGTGCAGACAATAGGATTTGGGTAACTTGTTTGTGCGCTGTCCCTTTGTTTTGTCTGGTTAGTTTTCTTTAACTAGTATTCTTTAGTAGATGGGTATGTTTGAGCTCTACAGCTGATGCGTCCTGCTTAAACCAAGGTTGTACCACAGCGGGGTTTGCCCAGGGACCAGGACCTGCTGCTGCCATGAAGTTTGGAAGTAAATGTTCTAATGACTACAGCTTGTTGAGGTGCAATACCTGTATTCCCAGAATAAGTTACAGTAGGCCTTATTGTTTCTGTCACAGAAAGGATTTGTTTGGACTGCTGTACTCCTCATTTGATGTAACAATGCTATTAATCTAAATATTTGTAAATAAAGTACCTGTATCTAGATAAACTGCAGTGCCTTGTGTTTCTTGCTCTGGCCTTCTCTACTTGTGCTGTGACTTACGGCTGCAGTTCTTTATTCCTGCCTTCCTGGGCTATTTTCTACCTGCCACAGTGCACTGGCTTGCAAATGCTGCTGTGTAGGCACTTCTGCTTGCCTGCAGTCAGGGCTTTGGGTGCTGGGGAAATCTGTTAGAAGAGAGAAGTTATGCAAGATTCCCTTCTACTGGTAGCAGTTGTGCTTTAACTGCTTATGTCAGCTTCTAAGAGGGGCCTTAGGGGTAAAATGCGATAGGCTGCTTTTGCTTTTCTACTACCCTGAAGCCTTCCTAAGGCTGTAATAGGCCTGCGGGAAGTGGGGAGTATGAATATTGCTGCCAGAGGTGCCAGGTGATGATGATCATGTAGATGAGAGGGCAAGGTTGAAAACAGCACTGAAATATGCCTCCAGTAATAAGGAGAGAAGCTCTGGAAAGTCGCTGTGTCCCCTGTGGCTGTGCAGGCCTTCTCCAGGAGGGCAAGAATGTACTTAGAGAGCCTGCTTTGCATAAAGGTGGAGGAATGTCCTGTATTTCATACTGCCTTCCTACTGTTCTTCATTTACAAAGGACTGGTATTTTTTGCAAGCTTGTTGTGTCAGAAAAAATGATACCAGTAAGGCTTCAGAGATAATGCAGCAATGCTTACCACCAGCACCTGGTAACCAGTAACTGCTACAGTGTGAATATCAGTGTAACAAATGTTACTGTACACATAAGAGTTGCTCCGAGCTCGCTCCTACTGCCACCATTAAGATCACACTGTTAGGTGAGGCAGCAATGCACGGGTGTTAGAGGATGCATATTAGAAACAATACTTGGGATGAAGGTAAGCTGTAGTCACAAACTTAATTTAAGAAAGTATTCAAAAATAGTTTTATTTAACATTCATGCATTTGAAAATGTGACAACTCAAAATGTAAACTGAGAAATACCCACACTTCAATGAGAACAGTAGTTTTAGACACTCCTAAATCCATATTTTTTTTTGGAATAACGTATATACATAAAACTCCCTTAGTCATACAGAAACTTCACAGTACTGAGCTGTTTGTTATTGCTGGTAAATACCTTTTTAGCAAAGGCTTGTAGAGCAGTGAGGTAGAAGGCTTCAGGAGTGGAAGATGATGGCACAGTCTCAGGAAGCACAAGAGCACATGCAGATCAGCTGCTGTCTAAAAGAGAGTGATATGAGTGATTCTGCACATTAATGAGAGAAGCTGGCATGGTGTGACCTGCTCTGCCTGGGGCACAACCCTGGCTTGTTCAGGGTATGCAGAATTTACAGTTGCATGCATGTTCTGCATGTCCTGAGAGCTGTAGGTTGGGGGGGTGATGCTTCTCTCTGCTGAGCACTGATGTGTGATAGCTCTTGCAGTATTCATTTTTGAATCACTGATTAGCAGGCCCACATGTAACTAGGTGTAACTGAATTCTGAGTGTCACATACCTGATTTTAATAAATGTAGTGTATTATTTTAAGATTATGGATAGAAGTAGCTTCTGTCAGTCAATACAGTTGTGATCTCTATGTGTCATTTGAAAGTTTACAAGCAATTTGTCTGAAAACACAAATCTAAGAGCCAAAACAGCACTGACTGCTGGAACACCAAGCACAAGAATGCTTTCATTTCTCCTAAAGCAATGGTCTGGGAGCAGTGCTGGGCCCACTTACCTCTGGCACTTTACTGAGAAATTTCTCATGAGCAGGAATGCCACGTCTGTGCCACTGCTGGAACACCTGCTGAGCTGCTGGGGAAGTGTGTGTGTCCTGTCAGGGCAGCCTAGAAAAAAGCAAAAGTCTGAGTAATGAGTAATTGTCTATAAGAGCTAAGGTCATGAAGGAAAAAATGGATTAAAAAGGAATAAAACTAATCTTAGAAGAAAGCCTGCCTTCTTCACACAAGTTGCTGCTGGGAAAGAACTGTTGTCCCACCTCCAGCTAGAAGGCACATGGGCATAACAGACTACTAGTGAGCTAAAAATCCTTTTAAAAAGTAATCAGAATTAGTGCACTAGAGGATTACCTGTGTTTTTGTTACATTCAGAGCATCACGAAGAGATAGCAGACTTGGACTTTCAGCTAGGAACAGTGAGTCCGAGGAAGTGCTGCTGACCAGGTCATCCAGCGCGTCAACCTGTCGCTTCAGGCTGTGAAGGGTGCCTTGTGTTTGTTGTTTTCCTCTGATCAATACATCAACTTGCTTGGACATGCAGTGCCAGAGCTGAGCCTGAACAAGTGGTTAGTTCTATTTGTATCCAGTTAGTGTAATTTTCAAGACTACATTTAAGAAGTCCTTTATGGCTTGGCCTCAGACATGCTATTAAAATCTCTCAAATCACAAGCAGCTGGCAATGGGTTTGCAAATCAACTTACTTTTAAATAGTTCACCTTAAGTCAGAAATAAGCCGTATTTCTGTGGCACCTCATCATTAACTGCTTGAAAGGAACAACAGATATGCTCTAACTGAACTGTGCCCTCATCTCCACTTTAAATGGCCACAAGTGCCTGCGAACTGTTGATTCTTATGTTACTAACATACACCAGTACAACATAAGTGATGGGATCATGCTGGCATACTCAAAAAGCCAACTATAATTGTTTAACATTGTTCATCTTGATAGAACATGTCATTGCTGGCTTTTTTCTGCTATTCCCACCTAATAAGACACCCAAAGATACTCTGGTGCTGGTCGTTATGGGGTGACTGTGACAACTGGAGAAGGATCTCCCACACACCCATTTTGTTCAGACTCTTTTTGGAAGGGACCTGCAGACATATCTGTGCAAAGGTAAGAGATGTGCCACCTTCAGCCGATCTTCATGATGCTGCAGTTTCTCTCGGAGAGCCTCTCCACGCCACTGTTCATCCTGTTGGCAACACAAACACATTCAGCAACTGAGCATTACTGATACAGACACGCTCAGCAGCAGTGTGAGCAGCAGCTACAGTCTGAAAGCTTTTTACCGTTATGAAGATTTGAGAAAAATCCAACTTCCTTTCCAATGAGAACAATCCTTTGTCAGCATCAGCAAATGAAAACATCTCTAAATTATCAGATTCACACTGCATACTTCTATTTACTGCAGAAAACGCTTCCAAATCTTCCAACAGTTCTGGAGAAGATGGGCTTGAAGATTTAAACCCTGTTTTAATATTGTCTTCAACCTCTGATTTAAGCAATGTTGCTGTGTCCTCTATTTCCCTTTGAATCTTTTCTAGGTCTTCCTGAGTCTTAACCTGCAACATAGAATAGTTTCATTACTTTGCTGAATATCACAAAGACATCAACCCAGAGGAATTTCCTATGTAACCAAACAAATCTTTCTGAAGTACTTACATTTTGACCATTGAAATCACAAACTGTAAGCTCTTTGAACAGATGCAGCCTTAATTATGAAATTAACTTTCGTAAGTTAATTTCATAGGCACCTGTCTGGAAGACACTGCTTTTCTCCAGACAGCCTTTATTTGGATACTCAGTTATACCTGGTTTTGGAGATCCATGTAATTCTGCTGGATCTGGCCAAGCTCCTTAATAAGGTGCTTGGTTCGCTCATGGTTATTCTGTGCTACTTGTTCAGCAGCTGCTATATCACTCTGCAGGCAGTTATTTGCATGCTTTTGTTCCTAGGAAAATGCAGAAAAGATTGCCTTTTACTGTGAGCACCCACTTGAGAAAATGAATCAAGAGAGCCTATATGAGACAATTTCTTCAAGTTAAAATGCAGAAACAGCATCAATAAGAGTAACCCAAGGTACTCTGCAGCACAGCTTAGAAATATCAGAGTTTGGCTGCTTCAAGATCTGTCTAATCAAAGTTAACACATGACTCTTGTTCCTCAGCAATAAAAGGGGTATTCTATCATTTTACTGTTTAAAAAAATAAACCAAAACCCTCTAACATTCTCCCTTCCTTCAGTCAGGACTTACATGCAGTTCTCTTTCAAGCTGCATCCTCTGCATTTTCATTGCTTCCTTCAGACTGCAGATTCGTTTTTCAGCTCTTTTCCTTTCTGATGCTAGCTGCCCCTGGAGATGGTTCAGCTCAGACTTGGAGAGTTTCAATTCTTTTTGGAGAGACTGAATTTCTCTATTTTTTTGTTGTAACTGTAGTTCTTTTTCTGATATCTGATGTTCTGTAAACAATATTTAAACTGACACTGATTAGCAGAAATGTAAATAGCTTGAAAATATCTAAGTCTGAAATATGCCAAACTACTCTGCTGAGAGTAAACATTGATAAACATTGGCACCAGGTGAGAGGTGACAAAGCTGCCTTCAGAATTTCAGTTCTCCGAGCAAACAAATTTAAGGATCAAGAGTCAAATAAAGTGCTGAATTAAAATTCAAGCAAGATTAACAGAATTATTGGTTGGTTTTACTAGACTTAGCACCCACACACTGCAATGATAAACTTATTTGTGTGATAGATCTTACTGCTTTTTCTGACAGTTTCTTCAAGTGCTGCAAATTGAGATGCTTCTTTTTCCAGCTTCCTGTTGTTTTCTTCTATCAGCCTTACTTTTGCTACTGCCTGTTCCAGTTTCTCTCGTTGATCCATGAGTTCCTTTTCCAGAAGAAGTTTCTGTTCTTTGAGTTTAGCAGTATTTTCTTCCAGTTTTTTCCCTTCGTCTTCTGAATTTTGCTTGAGCTTATAAAGGATCTGCCAAAAACAAATGCAAGTGTAACTTGGTACAGTTTAACTCATGGTAACTCAGTAAGAACAAATACCATCACCAAGTAGAAGTCAAAGCAGCAGAAATCTGAAAGAAATACAGTCTGGTACTCAGTCCAAACAGAAGTGTTGGTCATTTTTCCTCCTTAGTTTCAGAACAATTCCCCCAGTTTTTCTTTTGATTAATGCTTCATTGAAGCCAAATAAGGTAATTTCCACAAACAATTGATGGTCTTGCACAGAAGTGCAGTAGAAGAGCAAGAAGTAGCTGCAAATAGTAAACCACACAAAATAAGCTTTGAGATATCAGAAATAAACTTCAAGATAAGAATTCTGGATCTCCTGCTGCTTAGTTTTTGAGTTCTGGAACACAGATGCATTTAGGTTTTGGTCAGTTTTATTTGAAATCCATGTTATCATTTCAGATACTCCCCACTGTTTGCTTGTCTCCCAAAGCATATACAAATTCCACGAAGTTCTCCAAGCTATATCCAGCTGCTCTTGTTTGACAGCTGACAAACCAGAAATTGTAGAGAATTCTCTCTGCCAGTCCATATTCTCACCCAAATCAGCAACACACCAGCAGCTGACACACAGCACTGCACTGTGCCTCCCACTACATTAGCCCTTCTTGCACTCAGTTCTGCACACAATGATCCCAGCAAGAAGGAAGAGCCCTTTGCTGGGAGGCTGGTTTTCAGTCAGACATAACAGAATGCTGAAGCTTTTCTTACTGCTACTCCTCATGAAGCAAAACTTTATGTCTCTAAATGTTATTTTTAAACTTGTACCCAAAGCTTTTTCGCCTGCATTATTCTTAGAGGCCAGGCAAAAGCTCAATAAGTCTCAGGTTATTTACCGCTTCTTGTTTGGCCAGTATTGTTTCTTTCTCTTCAATCTCTTTCTGGAGCTGCTGCAAATGGTTCTCTCTCTTTTTCTGTCTCTCTTGGCAATCCTTACATTTCCTTACACATTTTAGAATATCTTCTTTCAGGGTTGCCTGCTCTCTAAGCAGCTCTTCCTGGTGCTTTGTATTATCTTTCAAATTCTAAAGACAGAACAGAAGATTAATCGACATAACTGGTAAAAATAGCAGGGGCCTGACTAAAAAGACTTCCACATGAAACTAACTCATCATCCCTAACCACATTGAAGACTATCTCCCTTCTAAACCAGCTCAAGTGAATTAAGAGAATAATAATCACCAGATGAAATGCTAGAAGATGCACGTAAATTAAGGACATAAATAAACAGCAATACTAACAGTGACCACCACCAAACCCCACCAACTCACCTCTCCTGAGGAATGTACTCTGACATCCCATTGGGTGCTTTTGGTCATGACAACCTGACTAGGATCAACATGACAGTTACCACTTCCCTTCACATTCAGAAGAGGAAAACAAATTATCTGTTGAGGTGCCTACTGTAGTCCTAATCACTCCAAACCCAGCAAGAACAAAGAAGTTAAATAGCCATTGTTTATTAGCTCTGCAAAGGAGCTGTATTTGATACAGCATGCTTAGGTGGAGAAACAGGTGATGGACCAACAATATGATAAAAGTTGCCCCTTGTTTCTGTGCATCAATTTACTCACTGAATTAAAACCTCCGGTATTTGACCCAAACTAACCTGTTCTGCCAGCTGAAGCTGCTGCCTGGACTCACTTAATTCTCCTTTCAGCATCTCTAGTTCATTCTTTTTTTCTAGAAAAATAGTTGGTGAAAGACATTTTCAATCAGTGTAGCAATTGAATACATCAATACGATGAAAAAGCATTACAGAGATGTGATGACCGAAGGACTGGCACAGTAGAAAGGTGCTATAAAGGAAGGGAAGATTACTCACCCACATCAGAAGATTCTAGGTTTGCAGGGAAAGCTTCACCAAAGAAGGATCTCCAGAAAGATCCTTCCTCAGTGGCAGTCAGCCCTTAAAAGAGACCTAACAGAGGTGCAGCCTCTGAGTCACCCCAGGACACCCCTTCCTGTCACAGAGGTAAATTGCCTTCACCTGTGCTCCCAGGACTGACCTGGTCTTTCCCCAGGTGCTCAGTGGTTCAGTCTGGCATTCAACAGTTCCCATACAATTAACAATCAATGAAATAACTTTGCAGCTAAAATTTCTTGTAAATGAATAAACATAGAAAAGTCTCCATCTTGATGCATTTAGTACATTCTGCTGGTAGGTAGTTGAGTTTGCTGATAAGATCATAGTTGTTACATAAAAGAAATTACATTAAAAGATGTAGTTTAAACTACGTTACAGCTTAGAAACTGCAGTTTCATCTTTACCTTGAAGATCTTTTTGTACAAGAGCGATCTCTCCATGCAGTGACTTTTTTTGTTTATTCAGTACATCTACATCCTGTTGCAGGTTTTTCATGTCCAATTCAGTTTTTTCTACATTGGACAATGCAGCTCCGATGCTGTCTTCAGTAGCAGTCAGGTCTCTGCAAAATGTGAATGCATGCTGGTGGTTTGTTGGGTGCATCACGGACCTCCAAAGTAGCTGCACTTGAGCAGTTTGTTTTCAGCTCAGGGAGATGCCACCCAGCAGCCAGAAGAACAGGACAGCTGTCTCATTCCAAGGCTGAACATTTTGCTTTTCATAACATTTCTCACTGCATTGCCATGAGAAATATCGCTGCATTCAGTGGTGCATATTTTCTCTAACTCTGCTATAGACATACTGTAGACACGCCTAAATTAAAGCCTCCACAGAGTAAGAAATGACTTTCTATAGTATCAGAGTTACAGCTGTGTTTCTAATTACGATAAGTTATAATTCAAGACATTTTTCATCACTTATCACATTTGCAGACAATGTATCCTGCTCCCACCTTCTGGTTTGTGACAGCTTCTTCTCCAAACTCCGACAGTCCTCTTCAAGCTTATGCTTCTCTTTATTCAGAGACTCAATATTATTTTGCAGAGTGCGCATTTGAGAAACCAGATGTTCATTTTCCTGACGGTCCTTCTGAAGCAGTTGTTCCTGCCAATCTACTTCCCCTTGCTGACTCTGAAATAATCTCTGAATATTCTCCAATTTTAACTTCTCCTAGCAAAGAAAGATTGTGTGCAACACACGTGGTGAGAAAGAATAAGTGAACATATTTATCTGCAGCAATTTAAAACCTTTCATCCACAGGTCATATGGAGGCTGCACTACTCCAACTTAAGAGTACAGAGAATGTTACCAGACCTTAACAGAACCACAGAACACGTAGTAAGTAATGTAGAAAGAAGAGAAATGCAACAGCTATAAATTAAATACTTACTTCTAGAACTGCAACCTGAGTCTTCTCCAGTTCATTGACCTTTTGATCATGTTGTAGTTTCAAACCCTGAAGTTCATTATTTTCAATCTCCAACATTTCCAGAACGTGTTTCAGTTCTAATAAGATGAAAGAAATCAAAGGTTATTACAAAGCACATTATATACATTCTATTCTCTAAAAAGACATTGGAGGAGTGGAGTGGGAGGGATGGGATGAAATAACATTGATACAATCCCTGAAAAGCATACTCATTTTCACTTGGTGTGTCAGACACACCAGTTGTTAGATCTAACAGCATTCTTCTATTAGAAAGTTGCAGGTTCCTGTGTCTCCTCTTCCCTTTTTTCCTAAGGTGTTATTCCAGGACAAGTATCTGACTGGCGGACAATGAAGTCAATTTTTTTTCAGAGGAAGTACAGGTTTGTAAGCTGCTGCTACACTTCCCACCATCTGAGAGGATACAACTGCCTGAAGGTAATCCTCTGTTCCTCCTCCAATCCAGATGTCTTCTGGGAATGTGCCACAAGCAGCCAGCTCCATCACACAGCACTAGCACAGAAGCTTTAGTCCCCATGGTACTTTGTTTTTCTCACTGAAGTGAGAAACTCAAATCCCAAGAATAAAGCAACACAAAGCACTGCCTCAACTCAAGCAGAGGGTAACCAGTAAGCTCTGTGTTGGAGTCTGAGTCTCTAACTAGGAACGCTTTCTCTGCAGCCATTCACAGTATTTAAAAAGACTGAAGAAAAGATAATGGCACAAATGTACAACCAGCATCTCAGAGTGTATTTATTTTCAGTCTGCACAAAATAATATCTACCTATCTTATGCTTGTTAATTTGTCCAAGTATTATTTGAAGATTTTCTTCCTCTTTTCCAATATCCTTCTTTATGAACGAAAGCTGTGCTCTCTTCTCATCAATTTGGACATCCAGTTCTCTCCTCTCAGCATTAAGATCTTCCAGAAGGAGCCTTATTTCCTGTGGAAATAACAGTGTTAAAATGAATGCCATTATTTGCCATTTATTTTTCCTTTAATAATTTAAAAATATTTATTAAAACGTAACAAATCTACTGTCAACTATAAACTCTAGAATTAAACTGTCCAGAATATAGTTAACAAAAAAATTATGTAACATTTAGGGTAAAGCCTTGCTTGTAGACAATTTAAAGTACTAATTTCCATGGAGGCTTTGATCTAGAGCATCATTCAAGTGAACAGGTAGGCCTTATAACAGAGAGCCAGAAAAAGCATCACCAGAGGAAAAAAAACAAAGAACAAAACCAACCTTGTTAATCTTGATTCTTTGCTTTTATTTCAGAGCTGACTGTATGAATCTAGCATGTCTTTCTTTCACAAAAAAGTACAGATTCCTTTCTGAGCAAGCAAACATGAACACAGGAATGAAGGAGACAGACAGCTGACTTACATCAGTGCTGTTGCATTTTAAGCACACTGATCAGATTGATCTGCTCTAGAAGCTGCCTTTGGAGACTTATTTCATGTACTTTTGTTCTCCAGGGACCAATTCTGTATTACCCAGAAACTAGAAAAGTTCTCTTTCTTATTTGTGCACCTTGTCCAACCTGTGAGACACAAAGCCATAAACTCGCTTGTTGTGTTTTTCAGATTTGGGGAGGATGTAGAAAGCAAAACCGTTTTTGTGGAAACGTTGTGATGTTTTTAATATTTCTATTCATTTGCTGTTCTTCACAAATATAATTAACTGAAAACTAATTTGGAAAAGTTACTTTTATTTGGCGCTGTTTTTCCTTTGCTTCAGTCTCCCCATCTCGAAGAGCTTCCTTGAGGTCACCTTTCTTTTGAGAAATACAGTCCTGAAGGACACGAAGCTGCTCTTTCCTTTGACTGAGCTGCTGCTCCACAAACAACAGCTCTTGTTGCTGAGCAGTAACCTAAGACATAAAAATTTAGCACCACCACCACATCTGGACACTTATAGTTTTATAGCCACACACATACAAAAAAAAAATAATGCAATACTGTTACCAGTTTACAGATTTACCTGAATTGCAAATCACGTAAGAATAGCAGGACGAGGGGAAATGGTTTTAAGTTGAGGGAGGGAAGATTTAGGTTGGACAGCAGGGGGAAATTCTTTACAGAGAGAGTGGTGAGGTGCTGGAACAGCTGCCCAGAGAGGTTGTGGTTGCCCCGTCCCTGGAAGTGTTCAAGGCCAGGTTGGATGGGGCCTTGGGCAGCCTGGTCTGGCATTAAATGAGGGGGTTGGTGGCCCTGCATGTGGCAGGGGGTTGGAGATTCATGATCACTGAGGTCCCTTCCAACCCTGACCATTCTGTGATCCTGTGAATTCCATCAGAGCAATAAGCTCCATTTGCTAGACTGCTGTAGAAGGGCCAGTACTGACAATTAAGTTTTGATCTGGACAGTGCAGTCCTGTGCCTCAGAGGTACTTAAGCTTCTTATTCTCAAGTGTAATAAGAACACAGAACTCTGCGATAACATTTATTACCCAGAAATGCAGACAAGATTGGGGTTAAACTGAACACAAGCCCCAAAATAGACAACATTCCCCTCAACAAAAAAACCCCAAACAGTAATTCAAAATTACCAACAGTAACAACAACAACAACAAAATAAATAAATAAAAAATAAAAAAAAAATCATAGAATTAAGAATTAGATTTTTCAGATAAGGCAGTTTGGAACCAAAGACACTTCACAGTCCCCAGTTACAGTAACAACAATTAAACTGATACTCCCATGTTGACCAGATGAGCCTTACCTGATTTTTCAGTCTTTCCAGTTCAGTTTTCTTGACCTGGAGAACATTCTCCGCTTCTCTGAGCATTTGGAGGTGATGTTCTTCATTACCTTCTGCAACTTGAATATCTCCTTGAAGCTTCTGAAGGCTTATAGAGAAGATAGAAGGCATGGTTCAGAAGAAACAAGTATACATAGAATCCTTAGAGTTGGAAGGGACCTTTAAAGGTCATCCAGTCCAACTCCTCTGCAATGAGCAGGGACATGCACAGCTAAGTACACTGGGCATACTTATTAAAGAAGTACATTAATTTAAGGTAAATTTAAGATAGATTTACCTTCCAGTCAGCATTTCTATTTTCTGGTTTAATGACTGGAACTCAGAGTCTCTTGCAGACACCATTTTGTTTATTTCCTTCAAAATACCTTCTTGTTCCTTCTTATGCTGTTCTAAATCCTGGGTATCTGCCTGTAATGATCTGCAAAAGCATTTATGCCCTTACATATTTACATTTTAACAGCTTCCCCACTCCGAAAGCAGTATCTTGATATTTGAAACAATCTTGTTCTCCTCTTCCCCATTTGATACTAATTTACAAGAATAGTGTACCTTAATTGCAGATCTGCTTTCACAAGTTTAGTAGCCATTTCATGAGCCCTTCGCTCTAGCTCCTCTGCCTCAGTTTCAGTATGGAACAAATGCTGTTTGGCATGATTGTATTTTTGAATAGTGTCTTTAGTCTAGAGCAAAAAGTGAATGTTATTGAGACAACACAATCCATCTTACCCTTTCAGCATCCATAATCTGCAAGTTAGCTGTCCAAAAGTGACCTCCACCTTACTCGAATATTATTCTCTGCCCCAGAAGAGAAAAGCTTCCTCCTCTTTGACAAGGACCAAACAGTTTCTTTTAGCACAGGTTATCCCAAAGCTTATTTTCAAACAGAAGCATTATTTTTACATGGATAACCTGCATCCTTTAAAAAACTGCTTAGACAAAATAAGAGGAAACACCTTCTGCCTAAAACAACCAACATAACACAGAAATCCTTCTGCACTTAGTTACGGGCTTTACTTGCCTTTCCCCGTGTACTCTCAAGTTCCACTTCAGCTTCTGTGAGAAGCCTATCTGCCTCTCTAAGCTCTGCTCGGCGTTTGAGAAGAGTCTTCTCTATACATTCAATTTCTTCTGCTATATCTTCATGATGTTTAAGAGATTTTTCTAACTGTAGTTCTGCCATTAAGTTTTCAGTATAGCCTTCAATAAAGTCCCTAAAAGCCCAAGAAGAAAAACAACAAATTAAGCTACAAAACGTCAGAGGCTCAGATGCCTCCCACAGTTTGTATAACACATGTAACAGACCAACTAGAATGTTAGTTATAAACATATCATAATCTACTGTCACTGGAAGAAGTTTTAGATATTTCCACTTGCTTAAACAGAACTAGTGTGATATTCTTACTTGCGTTTGTTACGTTTTTGAGCTGCTCTTTGTAGCTCTGCTACTTCGTGTTCCAGCTCTTCTCTTTCATGCAGAAGATCTTCTATGTTTTGACGTAATTTTTCCATTTCATTCTTGCACTTATGCTCAGCTGCCTCTGACCATTTATCTCTGTATTTCCGAGACTTTAAATGACGCACAGTTTCTTCTAACCTTGAGACTTCACTCTCCTACACAGGACAGCAAAATTAAGACTGATTGTCCTGTTTTTCTATTTCAATGCTCCAAAACACATAAGCAGTTACAGATAGCAGAGACCTGACCACTAAAACTGAAGACAGGGCGTTCTTATCAGCAAGCTCTCTGAGATCCAGAATCTTGCCACAAAACTACTTTGAGTTCTTAAAAAAATTTTAATCAATAGAAGTGAGATTTCTTTTTCTTCCTTCCTTTGAAAAAGCATATATTACAGGATGCTCTTAATCTGTTCACAATTCTGCCACTCTGTATCTTACCAAATCATGATGCTTGGGTACATTGCAATGAAGATCTCCAGAAGGAATGAGTGGGATAGTAAAGTTCGGAGGAAGAAGGCCATAAACAACCTGGGCTCCCACAGGAGGTGGGCCATAGATAACAGAGCCAGGAGCAATTGAACCTCCATTTGCAGCTGCAGGAGGAGGGCCATAAGCCACAGTTCCTTGGGGTAGAGGAGCACCATCTGGGAGAACTGTATACATGACTGTACCAGGTGGTGGTACAAAGGGCAGGTCTTTATGAGCATGAGCTTCCTCATTTCCTTCACTGTCTTCTTTCACTCTTCCAGCTTTAAATAAAGGAAAATAGAAGTTATTTTAAAACTGAATTAAAAAAAGATTTCTTGAATTGCAATACAAGGTGTATATACACAAATATTTACTTTTAGCACTGTTTAAGAAATTCACCAGAAATAAATATTAAATATTCACTAATAGGTATCAGAAATATTCACTGGGAATTCTAAGCAAACCCACATTTATTATGCTCCTGCACACTCTGAGACCATGAGACTCACCTTTATCAAGATTTGTTTTGTATAACCTGTTTCTGACTGGTGAATAAACCCAGCATCCTCTCGCTCTGGGTAAGTCTTCCTTCCTGACCTGACTACACCCTCTTCTGGGTGGGGATGTGCCAGGACATTGTAAACCAACTCCAGAATCTTTTGTGCTGTGGGAGGCAGGAGTTGAGGCCTAAGGAAAAAAAAAAAAGGATTTGTCACTATAAGATAGTTTATTCTAGAAATAACAAATAAAGTAAAATAATTTAATAAAGCATTTAATAAAGCATTGATTTTTTTTCAATAACAGACTACATATACCCTGTCTTCTCTCATTTTTAAGCATTTTGCTGCTTTAAAGAGATAATCAAATATAACAATATTACTCAAATTCATATATATAGAATTTCCCCATAACAAATGCCTCTCAACATGACAGGATTTGTGTTTCTGACCTGTGATGGTGGCATGTAATACCAGTATCCTCTTCTTTTCAGTGGATCTGCTATACTGGTGATGTAATCATTCTGGCACGAGAGTGCATTTCTGAGTGCTGCAATTTCATCTTGTAAGTTGTCAATTTCATCCTTGTTACCTGATAATTAATTACACAGTTTTATAAGCATATAAGACAAATAACTAATGATACTGAATGTATCCTAGTATAAGAACTGTACAGAATGGTTTCCTGTTTGTTCTCCTAGAATAAAATCCTAGAGCTCTAAACTGCTTCTCATGTTAGTGAGAAATATGCATGGCTGCAGAACAGCTTGCTTCTCTATAACTGCAGGAGATAGAGATAAGAGATTACCTGCCCCAACGTCATCCAACAACCATCTTAAACGGTCAATTTCTGCTTTCTGTTGCTCCACTGTGTCATTCAGTTTATCAATTTCTAATTTTTGAGAGCTCGATGCAGTCTTCTCACCAGCTTTCCCCATCTCGTGTTGAAGCTGTTTTAAGTTTAAATCAAAGCAAAGCACTTCACTTTAAATTACATTACAGTAGAACATTTTCAAACAATCTTACGTTTTCCTACAGAAATGCTCATTCAGCAAAATGCATGTACCACTTTGATGCAACAAAATTGTTCTTCCCATCTTCTCATATGAATAAGATTTACATATGCAGGAACATGAATACCTTCAAACGAACAGGCTTTCTTCAAATTCAAACAACTTCATCAGGGAGGTGTAGGGGGAGAGAAGAACACAGTGACTTGGCAAAACTTGAAGAGAAAGGCCACAGCAGGCAACTAAACATGGCCATTTCAGAACACCAATGAACTGTTCTTCATATATTTCACCCTCCTCATATAACAGAGGAAAAATTGCTTTCAACTTACTTGTTCTTCCTTCTGTTTTAGAAGCTGTTGTAACAATTCTATTTCTGCTTCTGCTCGGGCAAGATCCCGAGTTGCACGAGCTGCCTCAACACAGAACTCTTCAGCTTCCTCAAATTCCTGAAATTGAAATTTTATCTTAAGTTTAGTTTACAAGAACATCTCACAGACTTGCAGGTGTCTCACGAAGCTTTATGAATTGCAGAGTAACAAGAAACATCACCGCTTGTCTGCTTCGGAATTCAAGAAAATGACAAAAATAATAGTCTGCATGAACTATTTCTCCTTTAACCTTACAGCCTTTCTGCACAGTAAGTTTTATCATGTGTTAGTATAAAGCCAAAAAGTCACTTCTAATTTTTAAAGGTTTATGAACTGAAGTTTGTATTTTATTTCGCTTTTATGTAACAATATATTGTTTATTGATTGATTTTCAATTGCTATAGAAGATAAAACCTCTCTCTCCCACCTTCTAACTTGCAGCAAGGCAGCCTGTTAATCCAAGTTAAGTCAGACATTGATTTATAATATTTCAAGATGAGACTGACTAAAGCAATAGCTCATGTGGCAGGATAATTAAAAATAAAGATTTCAAGCTGAATTTAAAAGCAACAAAGACAGTCTTGATTATTATGACATTAGAAAGCATTGCTTAATTATAACTAACAATTAATTACCAACATTGATTTACCTCAGCTCGTTCCTGATTAATTTTGAGAACAGTCCCATGAAGAGCCTGCAGCTGGCTTTTAGCAATGGATAGCTCAGCAGCTGCCAGTTTATCTGAAGTGATGATTGCTCTCTTTAATTCCTTCAGCTCTTTATCCAAATCAGCAAATTGCATTTGTGTCCTGGCATCTTCTATTTTTTTCTGAAATCAGGAAAGCAACAGGTTTCACAGTAATTTTAAAAGAAAAGCAGCACAGAACAAAGGCCTTTCCACACATCCCATTTGGTATTGTATATATATAACTATCACAGTAATACAAGAATAAAGATGTCCAATTGCACTTCAGAAAAAGAAAACGGTTATATTTAGCCTCTGTGTTCCTTCTTGCATTTGAGCTTCATCTTAAAAAGCAAAATAATTCACGAGTTCTTTAGATATTCTTTTCTTGAGCAACCCAACACAGAACATACACTCATATTACTCCTACCCTTTTCTCCAAGTCTTCTAGTTGAGCAAGAATAGCCTCTTTTTCTTCATCTGCCTCTTGGAGCTGTTGATCAGCCAGGCCTTGAATTTCCTCCATACTCTTTATTTTTTCACGTAAAAGTTGAATTTCATTCTCTAACTGATGGACCTTGTTCTTATTCTGCCTGTTTTCAGATTTCACCTGTATGTGAAATATGCAAGAATGAGCAAAAACAAGATTTCAACTAAAATCCACCCTATTTTAATGATTTTCAGACAAGCTTTTTGAAAGCACCGTTAGTAGTATATTTTATACCTAAAGAATAGCAAAGCAGTTCCTTTTCCTAACTATCACATCTTGGAAGTGCCTAATGTATTCTGGCAATTGCATGCAATGTGATATTTTAAGAAGGTTACTGGCCGTATTTTTCTACCTATAATTAAACTCCCTGCTGCAAAGACTGCATTGTTACACAAAGATCAAAAAGCAAGTCTCTCTCAGTCAAATTAGAGACAGAAGCCAACAAAAGACTGCTAAGGAGCATGTGTCATATCTATTAAAAAAAAAATAGACTGTAAACGGTCTTTACTGGTTTCATTTTATTGTTTTCACAGGCATCTTGTCTTACAAAAAGAACAGGCAATGAATTTCACTGCTTTAACCCGAGCTTCCCAGCATATACAGCATGGAAATAGTCAAGGAAAGCTATTACATGATGTACACTTGAGCACAACAGAAAAACCAAAATTCTAATAATGGTTTGTATTCCTGTTCTAATCATAATCAACAGTGCCCTACGCCAACTTGAGTTGTTGAACTTGCTTCTGGCAAGCAACCGTGTGCAATTTATCTGCTCTTAGTAAAATTATACTTGTTTGAAAGATGGAGGGAAACAAATCTACATTTATCATAAATCTTGATCCTTCAGCTCCAACATGCAAATTTTAGACAAAGCTGAAACTGTCTTACTCTTGCTTTCATAGCTTTGATACATGCCTGTCTATATTTCTCTTGTATATCTTCCAGTTTTTCCTGCTGAGATACCATTTCCTCTTGCAATTGTTTCTGTCTTTCCCATGCTTTCTCTTTTTCCCTCTGTGTATCAGCAAGGATGCTATTGAATTCTTTCTGCAGATTTGCAAGGCTTTTCCCCAAAACATCAGCTGAATTCTGACATCTGAAAGAAAAGGCTCCATTTTAAAATCACAATACTAGCCATAAAAGTAACACAGCCCAGTTCAAAAGTGCTAGTTTAAAAACATCCAATGGAAATGAATTCAGGTGCAGTGCTGAATAGGTTACAGTGCCCAATGTTATTCTGTTCTGTCTTTATTTTCATTTTTTGTACCTGGGGACAAAGGAGGAAAAGAAAAATTCTTTATTTCTAGTAGTGAAACCCAAGAGGAATGTGTACGTCCCTCAGTGATATAATTAACTGAGCTCAGGTAATGTTCTCTTAAACACAAGGAAGGTGCTAAAGGTCATGTTTGAACTGCCCTACATCATAATACGTAGGATGCAGCAAATGTACCTTGTTGCTCTCATCTATGGAGCAATAACACATGCACAAATCTAACATTGTTTCTATTTTACTCACTTAATCTCTCCTGCTCCTGTCCGAAGCTTTTGCTTGAGTTCATTTATACGAGCCAGGACTTCCTCAGGGTGAATCAAGTTACCAACTGCATGGCTTAGCTGATTCTGAAGATCTTTAAGCTGTTGTTTCAGGAGATTGTTGTCTCCCTAATAAATAAATAAATTTACACGTTGAAAAATATTCCAACAACAATTCAGAACGATCTTACATTTTCCATAATGAAAGTATTGTGTTTATATAAGCAAAGCACGGTGACATCCAAAGCCTGTCACAGTATCCATATGCTACAGTGTCTGCAGTTGTGTCACCTCTGTCCCAGACACCAAACCAAGAAGCCACACTTGACTAACAGGACCAAGACTTGAAGTTTGCTCTGCACATTGGCAAGCTGTGGCAAAAATTATAGTTCTAATATCTGGTGAGGATCTTTTATAAGCTGATGGCCACTTTATTCTCTGAGGTGCATGAGATGGGAAAAAGGGATTTGGTGGATGCAAAGGACTGAACCCAGACTTGCCACAATGAGAAAAACTGATGCAATAAAGTCAGGTTTTTTCCCCCCCATTGCACACAAATTGTTTTCTTACTGACATGTACTGAATGAGGCTTGTGGGAAATTAAGATTTAAACAATTTATCAATCCCACTGCAATATAGTAGAGCAGATGTAGCATCATTTCAAAGGTCAATCTAAACATCCAATATAGTCAGATAAGAGACTGTGATGCAGGGTCTCCAGACAAGAAATTTGTCAGGAAGAGTCATAAGCACCACTGAACTTCAAAACAAAAATTCTTCTCACTTTTCCCTAATGGCAATGAAAAAGCACACTGCTTATCAGGAACTTGTAATGGCAACAAGTACTTCACCTGCAGTTGTTTGAACTGAGAAAGCAGCTTATAATTTTCTTGTTCCTTCTCTTCTGCTAATTGTGCTTTGGTCAGAGCATTCTCTAATGCTTGTCTTTCTTTCTCAAGTTCAGCTTGCAGGGCTGACAGTTCCATCTATAAACACAAACAACCTTCAGATTAACAACCCCATCTCATCACCCAAATGTGCAACAGCTGCATTTCTTTAGAGAATAACAAAAAAAACAACACCCCCTAAGAAAACAAGCATTCCAAGTCAACCCATCAACATATAATGGCTAGCGTTTCTTTAGCATTTGCAGCACCAGTTATGATGATGATGTTTAATCTAGAACTGGCACAAACGTGTCTTTCTCACTAGGAAACTAACAGATTTACATTTTATCAGAGTTCTACAGAGAATTTCCAAGTTTTGCCTGAAACACTATGCCTAAAAGACTTGGAGGGGCCAGGGACAAAAACACTTTGCTATGCATTTTCATATATTCATGACGGTGGAATAAGTCGTTCAAAGAAAAAAGAAAAATCAGCAACAAAAAAACAAAACCAAGAAACAACCCCACCAACACCATGTTCGTTTTTGATTAATGGAAACTGAACCAAGACACCAGTCGCTGTATATCACTGCATCTGAATCCAAAAGAGGGTCCTCAACAGTAGCTTAAGATAAAATAACAGTGTGTAACTTAAAGCACACATTGTTCTTACCCAGCAAAAAGCCAGAATATACAAAAACAAACAAAAAAGCTAGAAAGCTGAATTTCTACTTGAAACAACAGCAAAGGCCAACCTTGTTTTCATCTGCTATATTTCACAAACATACAGAGGCCTCTACAAAGAGGCCACAAATACTTACATCTTGCTGCAGTGCAAGGTTACACATCCTAATGAACTGATACTACCCTCTATTCTGGGACATCCCTAAAAGAACGATTCCTTGCAGATCAGTGTAGGGGGGGATATGGTAAGGTATGCTGCCAGCCCAGGCTGATTGCCACTTTGGTAACATTACAGCTCTGTTCTCACCTGGCTGAGTTGTTTCAGTCTTTCCAATTCTTCCTTTTGCTGATTGGCTTCAGTGTCTCTGTCTCTTAGCTGGGCTTCCAGTTCAGCCTCGTAGGCACTCACCTCCCCTTGGCCTTCTCTAAGAGATTCATTTATTTCTCGCTGCTCCTGAAGCGCGCCTTCAAGCATTGCTATTTCCTGGAATTTTACATTCACTTCAGTAATACGTACACAGGAGAAACAGGATTTCTTAGATGACATTACCACTCTTCCCCTATTCGTCAGGGGTTTGTTATTAACTTGAAAGCTGGCATCTCAAAACAGAGGCACTAAACCTAATCTCCAAATATTTCAAACAAGACAGGTAGCATTATTACATACACAGCCCAAGTCAACGGTGCTGCTGCGTCAGACCTCACCTGAAGTCTGCACAAGTTACAAAGCCTAAAGCGATACACATTAGTCTAAGACATTAACATTTACAGAAGACTTCTAGGAGACTAAGACAGCCTCTTAAGTAACTGGATGATACATTTTAAAGGCCCAATTCCCTTCCTACTGTGCATGAACACATCTGACTGATGTTACCGTATCAGAAAGCAATTTTGTCCAGAGAACTGTGTTTGTCATTCCCAAATTTGATTGCTTGCTTAAGTTTATTCTTAGGTATCTCAACTTGGGAAGAAACATAGCATTAAACCTTACTTTTCTCATATTTTCGGCATCCATGATAACTATTTTCAGGCTATTTCTTTCATCCTCTAGATCTGCCAATCTCTGAAGCAAAGATTCTTTATCCTTCTGTAACTCCTTACATTCATCATTGGCCTGTTTTGCTTGATGCTTAACACTTTCCAGGTATTCCTGTAATCCAATTATAATGCTTTCTAAATCCCTTTTCAGTGCTTCGTTTGTTGCTATTTGACCTGCAGAAATGCAAAGTGAATTCAAGGTATTGAAGAAACCATGTTTACTTACAAAACATACAGAACTGCTACTACTAATCTTAATCTAAGCAGGTGAACACGCAATAAAAACAAGTAACTTGAACTCAAGCAGAAAGTGCTTGTGCTGTGTTTTAAAGGCCAGGATTTTCAACACTACTATTCCTGACCACTGGAGAAGTTGAGCAGAACCTGCAGTTCTTTATATACCTCCCTCCATATACATATACTTCCTTTTATGATGCTACTTGCTACTTTTCTGCCTAAATCATTTTTAAAAATCATATGCTTTTCTGGGGCATCAACTTTCACACAGACTAGGTATATAGTAAATAATAACATTAATGAAGTACCTCACTTAAATCAGTTTTAAAATACAGAGGAAGAAAGTGACTCACAGAAAAGACACTTCTGTGAAGGCTACAATGATCCAAGTGAATCTCAACTAGCTCAAGAACTAGATAAGAAACTGCTTTAATATTTCTGAAATTAGCATATTTTTGACATTATCTCAAGCCTAAATGAAAAAGCAGCTTCCTAAGGGTATTGAAATATCAGTACTTCAATTGTTCAATTAAAAGCAGAATAATTCTTTCTGATGTAAGAACAAAATTGCAGATGACAAAGATGTGTCCAGAAAACAACCACTCAGCTCAGACTTGATCAAGGGCCTTGGTACCTCAACATTTTTATCAGCTCAATTATGTTGTCCTAGATACAAAATATTTTAAGACACGAACAAAAAATTACCATCAGTGAGCTGTTGCTCCAAGTCCTTGATTTCCTCAGTTTCCTTAGCAATCCTAGAAAGCATTTCATCCAGGCGACTCTCGAGCTGCTTATACTGTTTGTTCATTACCTCAATCTGCTGTTCTTTACTTGCTTTTTGAGCTCTCATGTGAGCCTGTAAACAACAGTTGGAAAGGCCAAGCAGAACTATGTCAGCACAGATTTTAAAAAGTCAGCTCACATTTTAGCTCAGTTCTGCAGCATCTCACTGACACTCACAAAATGACCAGTGCAACACACCTTGTGGTGCTTGGTTCTGTTTGTTTTCCTCTTTGCTACTTCAAAAAGAATCCCAGATAGGCAAGCAGCAGCATTAGGCACAGTCTTGCCCCCTTGTTAAGGCATGCTGTATAAGGTGTGGGCTTATATGTCAGCATTTGTAACTATTACCTTTCTTCCTGCTATATTATTTCCTCTTTCAGTCAAGAACAAACACGATTTCCCCAGAAGTTTTATCCTGTCATCTTGTATTGTCTTTCCAGCACAATATGTCAGGTCACCACCCAAAGGAAAATACCATGAACAAGCTGCAAGTCTGTCCAACTTACTAGCCAAGTTCTACTTCAAGCAGAACCACTTCTGTATTTCTGGGAAATGCCTCTGTTCCACAGTGATTCCATAGCTCACACCGATTTCATCAGGACTGCACATGTATTTTGTACGAATTTAACCCATTGTTTCAACTGTGTACAAAACCATATTATCAATGCAATACAGTGCTACATGCTTCCCATTAGACTAAATTACAAGCAGTTTAAATACCACAGAATTCAGGAAAGTACATCATTTATACTGTCATGAAAAACAGCACTTTTCTTCTTTCTATTTGAAAAAGAAATCAGAAGTGTGCATTCTCAAAAAATTTGCTTGTAAAGTTACTTCTGTAACGAAGTAATTGTTTAAGAGAAAAAAAGTAGATTTCTCTATTTTTAATGCATTGAAGGATACTTTTAACTTTCCCATCAGCACAATTCAACTTGCCACCTGTTAATAACAAACTACCCTTCAGCTCTCAGAAGTGAAACTTCAACAAGCAGAAAGCAAGGCGAGGTGCTGCTGCCGCTGAATCATTTTGCCACAGGAGCCCTATTTAAAAACAACAAACACTTACAGCTTTGCCTTTGTCTTTTCTTCCTTCGGGATCACGTGCAGGACGCCCCACCCCCACTCTAAAGTCAATCCGATCGGCCTGCCGCCTCCAGCACGACATACAGCATCACCTCCCGCTCCTCGGCCCCCCGCTACCTCCTGCCGTTGGGGCGGCCGAGGGGAACCGGGAGGAGCGGAGAGCCGGGAGCGGCCGTCCTGCAGCAGCGCGGCGATAGGCCGGGCCGGGCTTCCTGCGCCGTGATTCGGAGCGCGGCGGCGGCGGCGGCGAGAGGGGCCGGGCCGGGCCTGGGCTCCGTGCCGAGCACGCCCAGCCCTGCCGGCGCTTAACGCATTTTTTGAAAGTGGCTGCAGGGCTCGGCTCGAAATAGGAACAGAGCTGAAAGAGTCTTTTTTACTTTGTATACTACAGGGTGTCAAGCTAGCCTGAAAAGCTCTCATTTTTAAAAAGTGTTTTGTTTAAAAAAATAAAAATACAGTACTTATAAAGAAAAAAATCATTTCAATTTCGTAATTGTGTAAACATTTGCTGCTGCTGAACACAGTAAAGTAGCTCAGAAATCATTAGTTTTGCTTCTGTCCAGCTCAACAGAAGGTGGCTGTCAAGTTACGACAATGCCTGGTGCCAGCTTTGCTCCCTACCTGCAACAAGTGGCCTCTGAGACAGCGAGCAGCCTTCCAGGAACAGCAGGAGGACACAGGAAGGTTATTAGTCCCTACCAAAGTGCTATTATAAATCTTGTCAGAATTAGAAAAGATTTAACTGAAAACTGAAGGCAGAAAATCTCTCCTTCCAAGGCTCGCAGCATGTCTGTACAAATCATAAAGACCCAGTTCTTAAAGCACGTGCAGCTTCCATATGTAATATGCATTGAAAACGGGTTGCTCAAATGTTTTACAATTATTTGTTTTTAGTTTTGAGGAGTTGTATGTATTCTGAGTAACAGCTGAAGCAAGTTCTCCTAACTGCCAAAGACATTCTTAAATAGCTAAATAATATATAATCTACTTAACCACATTTCTCAGTTTATGAATATAGATAGTGAATGAAAACTTAAGATTTTGGTTTTACTCACATGTCTTGGATCTTTAGAATTTACAGAAGCAAGAGAACTCTTCAAATCTTCAAGCTCTTTCTGCTTCTTCCCTATTTCTCTTTTCTGTTTCTCCATTTGTTTCTCCAGTGCTAAGGCTTCCTCTTGTAGCTGATGCAGTATTTGTATCTTCTTACTCAGCTGCTGCTCCAGCTCTTCCCTGTCAGCCTGTGAGACCTGGGAATGGCAGCAGGAGGTTGGCTGAAACAGTTATACTGGAAACAAGAAGCTGATAGAGAAGCTATTACACCAGCTTAGCCCAACAGGTTGTCTGAATATGATCCAATTATTTGAATCTTCTTTATACATATGTACAATGGCCCCTTAAAAAAGGAGGGGGAGAGAAACACGGCTGTGTTTTCTGTATGAACACTGTTTCAGACACTTTCCCCTGCTATCCACATAGTAACTCCTTTACATACTTTTTTCTGAGCCAGAGCACCCTCCAGTTGTTGCAGTTCCTCTGTCACTTCCAAAACTTGTTGCTCTGCTTTTCCTATTGCATTTTGCAGCTCTTCTAATCTTCTTTGTGCTGCAGAAAAAAAAAGCCACACATACATTTTAATGTGCCATACAACATTGACACATTTTCCATTAATCAGAAAAATCAGAATACATTTTCTTTAAACAGTGATAATCAAAGCTAATATATCCCAATTACTCACAAAGTATATCCAACCAGTTTTTAATGTGAATGACACAAACTGACAGATCAGATGGGAGACTTCCCTGTTATTCTTTTACATCATCAAATGTAATTATTACAAGATTTTTTTCTATTATTTTAAAATAATTCAGTATGAAACACTTTTGTCCCCAAAGATATCATCGATTACAGGGTTGAGAAGCAACAGGGACCGGAGTGGTAAATCCCCCCCCCTGCTGTGAGGACAGAGCAGGTCCAAGATCGCCTCATGAGACTGAATGTGTACGGGGCTGGATGGCGTGCATCCCAAGGTTCTGAAGGAGCTGGTTGAGGTGGTTGCCAAGCTGCTTTCCATCATATTTGAAAAGTCCTGGCTGTCAGGTGTGGTCCTGGATGACTGGAGGAAGGGTCACGTCACTCACATTTACAAGAAAGGGAGCAAGGAGGACCCCGGGAACTACAGGCTGGTGAGTCTCACCTCTGTGCCTGGGAAGATCATGGAACAGATCATCCTGGATGACATATTTGATCACATGAGTAAAAGGCGTGTGATCCGTGACAGTCAGCACAGCTTCACCAGGGGAAGGTCATGCGTGACCAATCTGGTGGCCTTTTGTGATGGAGTGACGGCATCGGTGGACAAGGGAAAGGCGACCGATGTCATTTGCCTGGACTTGAGCAAGGCCTTTGACACGGTCCCCCACCACATCCTTATCTCCAAACTGGAGGGATGTGGATTTGATGGGTGGACCACTTGATGGATAAGAAACTGGTTGAAAGGCCACAGACAGAGGGAGGTCATCAATGGCTCCATGTCCAGGTGGAGGCCGGTAACAAGCAGCGCCCCCCAGGGATCTGTCTTGGGACCGGTGCTCTTTAACATCTTTATCAATGACATCGATGACAGAATCGAGTGCACCCTCAGCAATTTGCTGATGACACCAAGCTGAGTGGTACAGTTGACACAGTGGAAGGAAGGGATGCCATTCAGAGGGACCTCGAGAGGCTAGAAAGGTGGGCCCGGGTGAACCTGATGAGGTTCAACACAGCAAAGTGCAGAGTTTTACGCCTGGGCCGGAGGAATCCCAGGCATCCATACAGACTGGAAGGAGCGGTCCTTGAGAGCAGCCCTGTGGAGAAGGACCTGGGGGTCTTGATAGATGAAAAACTTAATATGAGCCAGCAGTGTGCCCTTGTGGCTCGGAAGGCAAATGGGATCCTGGGCTCCTTCAAGAGGGGTGGCCAGCAGGGACAGGGAGGTCATCTTTCCCCTCTACTCTGTTCTTGTGAGGCCCCATCTGGAATACTGCGTCCAAGTGTGGAGCCCCCAGTACAAAAAAAGACAGGGAGCTGTTGGAGAGGGTCCAGAGGAGGGCCACGAAGATGATCAGGGGACTGGAGCACCTCCCCTATGAGGACAGGCTGAGGGAGCTGGGCTTGTTCAGCCTGGAGAAAAGAAGGCTGTAGGGTAACCTCATTGCAGCCTTCAGTACCTAAAGGGAGCCTGCAACCAGGAGGGGAATCAACTCTTTGAAAGGGCAGATAACTGCAGGACAAGGGGAAATGGTTTGAAGTTGAGGGAGGGGAGATTTAGGCTGGACATCAGGGGGAAATTCTTTACAGAGAGAGTGGTGAGGTGCTGGAACAGCTGCCCAGAGAGGTTGCAGAAGCCCCGTCCCTGGAAGTGTTCAAGGTCAGATTGGATGGGGCCCTGGGCAGCCTGGTCTAGCATTAAATGAGGAGGTTGGTGGCCCTGCATGTGGCAGGGGGTTGCAGCTTCATGATCCTTGAGGTCCCTTCTGACCCTGGACATTGTGCGATTCTGTAACAGCAGTTATAGCCTTTGGCACACTGTTGCTATTCTCATGTGAAATACATGTCAGAAGTTCCAACAGTAGAATAAATACTGCTATATGTACTTTTCTTTTTAATATTAAAAAAAAAAAAAAAAGATTACCTGAATGAATCTTTTTTTCTTTACTCTCCAATTGCTCATCTACAGTTTGAAACTGAGGTTCCAGCTGTGATTTCATACATGAATCATTTTCATCTGGTTGCATTTTTCCAGTTTCTATTTGCTGAGCTTTACTAGCTATGTAGCCTTCTCTTATAAACATATTTCTTTTGTACCTGGCCTTACCAATGTATGGGCTTTCACCAGGTACGTTGTCAAGCTCAATATCCTGCAGTGTTAAAGCAATACAGCTGTTACATCATTTACACATCTGTCTCAGAAACATGGTTGCTGTCAGCTCATAAAATGTATTTAACACTCTTACAGTGCCATTAAAAATGAACAGTCTATTAGCAGATGTTTGTATTTGGGATGTGCTCAGTTTGTTGCCAGTGGTTAATGCAAGAGGGTATTTAACTGGAGGACTTTTTCTTATTATTTTAGATGTAGAAGTAACATAGACCATACTTAGTCCATTACACTGCTACACTTAAACATTTTAACTTCACTCATCATGAATGATGAATTTTTTTAAATTATGTTTCAGTGGTCTTTGTTTCTTACAGAGACTCTCTCACCAATCATTTTAAATTTGCAAGTATGACAGAGGTTAGCTTTATTAATTAGGTGGGAAAAAAGGGGGGAAAAAAAGGGAGAAATTAAGATGTGGTTTAACTGACAAACATTCTGGCTTGTACAGTTTTTCAGACTGAGAGGACCTCCAAAATTAAGCCAGAAATAAAAGCAATTGTTTTACTCAGTCATTAATAAGAATGAAATGATTGTTCACTGACTCTGTTCAGCCAAAATGTACATGTACTAATTTTCAACAAGTTAAAGGTCACTCAAGAATCACTTTAGATCAAATCATGTAACCCAACATTTTAGAATGAGATTTTTGTATTTTAGAACTCCTTATAGACCTATATCAGAACAATGGAAAAACTATGGAAGTTTTGGTATTTTCCAAGCAATTGAAAAGCAAGAGAAAAAGAAATCAAAAGATCCATAATTTTAAAATTATTACCTCTGATGGAAAATAGCTTAGCGGCTCAAATTTTGCATCAATCTTATAAAATGCCAGTTCCTGCTCCAACTCATATTGCTTCTGGCAAGCTCGTGTCAGCTCCATTGTTTTCTGCTTTAACTGATGAATCAGTAAGCAAAGGAAGATGCATTCACTGAATTGTCATTGTTATCACACACCATTCAATTCAGAACAACGGGGCAAAGACATTAATTTCAAAACAAAGTTCACATTAGAAAAAATTAAGATGGTGTATTTTAGGTCAAGGATATCACAAAGTGCCACTTCATTACAAGATACAACATGACAACTAACAGTGGACAAATTCCACAGCATAACACAAATGATCACATGAAAGGTCTCTTAAGTTTACAAGCATGAGAAGTTTGAAAGAAAGTGCCACTAACTTCAAGAAGTAATTTGGGTACAGTCCTTTAGCAAAATCTATACTGAATATATTTACTGTTATTAATGATCTCATTTTTAACAGTCTTAAGCTGTAAAAACAAACAAAAAAATTATCTCCATTGTCAAGTGTATAAAGCCCTAAGCATTTTCTTTTAGTTTAATTTTGTGCTAGTTAGCAATTTTGTTTATTTATTTTTTTTTAAGAGGTCTATCATGTGATTCCCTTTTAAATCAACTTTGTGCTGAATACCTGAGGGAGAACATGCAGTAATACTCCAATAGACAGTGGAAAGCAAAACTACTGAAGGAAAAGAAATAGGTAAGACTGGAATAAAGGAGAAAAGGCTTAAAAGAAAGATTCAAAAGAAACATGCAGAAAAAACAAACAAACAAACAACAAAAAAACCCAATACAGTGAATACAGAGTCTCACCAGAACTCTCTATACAACATTTCTACTTTATTAAACATGCAAAGAAAGCCTAGAAATAAAGATAAGCATGCAACCCAGGAGCACAGAGGGCTACCTTCAGTGAGGAATTAAGGCTCTGTGGAAAGGAACTGTGACAAACCAATACACCAGCTAAAGGGAGAGAGAAGCAAGCAGAGTTTGTCATCCAGAGGATAAGAGTGGGCAAGTTGCAAAATATCTGCTGCTAAATCTCACTATACTGAAAACTGCATTTTGGGAATAGGCTGCTGGTTAGTATGTTCAACAGAAGAAACAGCTAAATAAATATTAGCAGTAGAGAATCTGAAGGATAAAACTAGAGGACAAGGCTAACAAGAAAGATTAAAAGCCAAATACTGCACTCCCAGCAAGTCATTCACAACTGAGCATTCTTCAGTCAACAGGACTTTTTCCAGGGCCACGGTACAAACCTAGTATTTTATAGCTACCAATGAAAGACAATTGTCAGATGCAAGTTTTAGGATGATGTAAAGAAAATACAAGAAAACTAATACACTTGACCTGGAAAAAGAAGCATTACTAGCATACAACTTGTATGCACACCTTGTTATTATAAAAATACTGAACCTTTTTCCCCCTCAGTACAGCAGCATTTAAAGTTCTGAACAACAAAGGAGACTCAGTACACGATAATTTAGAGCAGCTTAATCTTTATCAAGTAAAAAAACTTATTACTACAGACAAAAAAGTTCCTATAAACTATAAATTGTGAGATTGGTACTGACTGCTGGTTCAGTATACTTACTTTTTCCATAGAAGGAATATTGAAAACACTCTTTAATGCTTTAACTTATGTCTTCCAAAATACTCCTCTTAATTTTTAGCATAATCCTACAGCCATTTGAGCTCTTCCATTGGCATCTGTTTCTGACAACAAAACAGTTCCAAATAAGTGATTATCTTACCAGTTCATTTTTGGTATCCACATCCCTTTGTAGATCTTCACAGCTTTGCTTCTGCTGCAACGTTTTTTCCTTTAATGATTTGTTGACCTCATCTTGATGGTGAAGTTGCTCAAGTACTTTAGACTGGTTAAGTTTAAGGTTCTCCATCTCTTTTATTGCATTCTCCAACTCTCTCTCTAATTTTTCTATCTCTTCTGAAAAACAAAGTAAAAAAAAACACAACACTTCAAATAGAACTCTTTTCCAGCTAAATTTGTTTGGTGCCACTTACCATAGTTCTAATACAACATTATTACCTAAATCAAACCTCTTTAGAGCTTCCTGTCTGTCATGATTTGTCACTGGCTGTCCATCCAAGTTTTCCAATGCTCGCAAGTGGAATATGACGTACAAGCGGTAGTGAGGCAGGCTGGCAACTGGGTTACCAGCAAGGAACAGAGAAGTCAGATCTTGTAGAGGCTTTAGTTTAGCTACTTCATGAAGCTAAATGAAAGACAAATGGAACGATGATTAGATATCCTTTCAAGAACTACTAACCCACACATTACTGAATTTGATATTACAAGTTAGAGCCTTATCAAGACTAAAATAACTTCCTGAAGATCAAACTGTTTCTTCCATTGAAGAAAAAAAAATGCAAAAAGAGCAAATTTCATCAAGATTGACCTTGGGAAATCCAAGATCACAGAGCCTGTAGATACATCCAACCTTCCATTCTTCCAGCCTAGCTCATGAGAAAGGAGATTTTATTAACTGAAGAAAGCACTCAGAGCTGGTTTATCTTTCTTCTTAAATACTATGGCTATTTCAGAAACTGTACTACTGACTTAATTTCATAGACATTCTGTTTATACAAAACATGGAAGTTAACCTGGACCACAGAAGTAAATTTAGTCATGCTCTAAATACAAAAATGCAAGTATATTACCTACAGGTCTCCCAAAACACGAAATTAACTTATCATAAGGGACACCACCACTAACATGAAAAAGGCATCACATCTTCAAACTTTTCCCACTTTTTCAGAAAAGTGTAAGGTTATAAAAAACAAAGCACATTTATACTTGGAATATCTGGAACAACAGGAGAGTTTATCCTTAAAAACCAGCTTTGGTAGGCTCACAACAACTGTACTGACAACTAGAAGACAGTGAGTGATTCAGAATAGGTCAAAGAACATAAGTTTACCACTTCATGAAAAGACTGTCCCTTAAGTATGATCACTTACTGATGATACTTTATTCTGTTTCAAGTTAAGGATGCGCAGGGATCTCAGTTTCTTCCCTACCCACACAGGAATATGCTCAATCTCGTTCCCTGCAAGGTTCATCTTTTGTAGGTTATGTAAATGTTCCATGCCTTCAATCTTACTGAAAATAAGATGACATAACTCACTGTGAAGCATATAAAATTCACAATGCAATTGAGGCACTATGGATAAGATACAGAATATCTATTTCAACTAATCACCACTCAAGAAACAGCGAACAACAGCACTGTAACAAACATTGTAATGAACAATGGACTCACAGTTCAAATGAAATTAGAATATCTTGCTTTCACATACTATGGTAAGGTTATGAATAAAACAAACCCAACAATTTTACTGCAATGTTTTACTACAGTGACTAAAGTCCTCACTTTTACACCTCTCCACTATAAAATTAAAGACTTACTTACATATGTGATTATGTCATTTTAATATACCCATTTTCCTCTTCTTATCCTCCAAATGTAATTGCACACTTACATTTATTTTGGTTCAGCTGTGTCATGTATTTTTTCCATACAAGAGCAAGAATCAACTTAAACCAATGCTGTAAAGAGCTACTTTTTAAGTTTATTCATTAAAATATTGAACTGCTAAGGAGGAAAATGCTGGGTTTAAAGTTTCCCTGGGCACTAATCTAAAGAGATGAGTATAATAAAGTGGGATAAAAAAATGCTCCTGTTGCCTTACTATTTTTGAAGTAGAAACCAGTTGTCTATAATGAAAGTCTGAAAACATGCAGCAATAGCTAAAAACTACTCTGACCTTTTCAATTCCTGTTAAATGAGGAAGTCGTATGAATGTAAACGTGTAGAAATGCTTGTTTACTTCCTACTGCTAACTTCTCAACCAACAATGCAACTTTTCTACAAAGTTGATCCTATGTAAAGATCAAACTCACTAAAAAAATTAAAGGAAACAAAATTTTGCTATTGCTTCAACCATTTCTCTTCAACTTTTGATAATAGAAAATACAGCACTTTTCAAAACTACTTCTCCTTCAAATACAGTTTTTGTAGATATTAAAAGTCACAAGCTTCTATGAAATATGAGTTCACTGAAACTTTATAGTCTTGACATGTAACTGATGGGAAATGCTACTTAGTTGCCCATACTTCTCAGATCCCACTCAAACAATAAGAGAGAGTCAGCTCTGTCATATCTGGGGTTTTCAAAGCTATAAGAAGCATCTCTGCTTACCTGATCTTGTTGTAAGACAAATTGAGTTCACGCAACTTCAACAGCTTATCCAGCTTCTCAATCTTCTCTATTTGATTGTTACTTAGATTCAGTCTCTCTAGTTTAGAGCATTTTTCCAGATTTTCTATGTACTGAAGAACAGAAAATTTACCCCTTAGTACTGCAGCTTTAGCTTTTCCTTTAAATGAGGCAGATTTAAATTTTTAACAAACACATTCATTAAAAAAGTGCGTTATTCTAACAGAATTCAACAGTGAAACTGATTAATAAGTCTTAAATTCAGTATTCTGTAGTACTGGAGAAAGAAAACTAGATTTTAAGTTTGCAGTGAATCATTTTCACTCATAATAATGGGAATTTGCTGTTAAAAAACAAAACAAAAAAACCAACCACAATTCAAACCCTAAAAGAATTAATGTTCTAAACTTCACTGTAATTGATTCATGGTTTCTTCTTTTGCACAGAAGCGTCCACTGACATTCTATCATTTTTATTTTGACAGAAGATGGTTGTAGAATGAGGTTAACAGAACATAGCTATTTATATCCACTTATAAACACACCTCTGTTTGACTACGTTATATATACACACGTATATACACGCTTCTGTTTTATTACCAGTTACATTCAGTAACTTACCTTGAATTTCTTGTCCCCATCCTTTGGGGAAGAAAGATTCAGTGAGCTTATATATGCCAAATTTTCCTGTTTTGACAGACTTTTTATAAGGGGTTCTGTAATATACCGAACACCTGGACTGACACCATTTTCATCTGAAATTAAACAGAGAAACTACCTTTAGCAGCAAAAGAACTGGTGACTTTTATATTCATCTTGTACTTCACACTAAATGCAGGAAAAGCACTGAAAATTATTCTCCCCCACATGAGAAGAAACAGCACACCAGAAGCTTTTACAGGAAATGACGTGTTAGAGTATTCTTTCAAAAATGACACAGTACATATTGCCCATCTTCAGTGTTCTTCTCCCCCTGGAGCAGACTTTAAGGAGTGAAAGTCCTGTTTTTCTATACAGATCCATTATTGTTGTTTACACATTTGAGCATAAAAAACAGCAAAGCAAATTCTCATGTTTCTTTCCAACAAATCATTTATCTTTAAATCGTTATCACAAAGTTCACAGAACGTGGGCTTTTTGTGCTTTTAGTGCATACTTTTACCTTCATAAAATTTAGATTCAAAAGCAGCTTCCACATTTGCTGTAGTATCAAGCTGTTGATTCTGCCATGCCCTACTTTTGTGAGCAGGTGGAGATGTCTGTTGGCTTAGGGGAGATGACGATCTGGTGCCTGAACCAACAGAAGACATTGGAGTAGGTGTCTGAAGAGCTGACATCTGTGATTTTCCACATAATTCTTTTTTTATGTAGCTTTTCTTCATTGCCAAAAATACAGGATATCATCTGATCAGTATCTGTAAGGAAAGAAATAAACATAATTGCCTGCATCAGCTGAACTCTTAGTGGTTTGCTTGCCAACAGAAGTTGGTTGTTCAAGGATTTTAGGTGCTTGTTGACAGTTTGAGACAAAGCAGAGGTGATATCTGAAAAATTGTCTTTTTAGCATAAGAAATATTTCTAGCAATAATAGGCTGCCAAAAAACACATTTAACCTAGTTTTCCAGTGGGTGACAGCTTCCATTTTTCAGGGGCTAACACATATCTAGAGGAATGCTATAGCTGCTTACTACTTCTATCATAAAGCACAACCTTCATCTGGGTAACTGTCTTGCAATTTATGGCTTATAGAGCCTGGAGACACCCAGCTCAGAGTAACATAGCTGGTTGAGAACAGAAGGAGACAATTAGGATCCCAACTGCTTTTACTAAGGGTAGAAATCACCAAACTGTAGCTAAAAAAGCAGACACAAGTAAAAGAGAAAAAATAAAATTAAGAAGAAGTCTAGCACTGACCCACTGACTGTGTCTCCTTTCCTACCAACAAGCTGTTCTGTGGCTGAGTGGGAGTTCTAGAGAACTGTCAACAGAAGCTTCCACCACAGAAGAATGTGGTTTCCCAGGGACAAGCACAGAAAGAGCCACGCTCTGCTCCGAGTCCTTCCTCATAGCGACCATCTCCAAGGGCCGGAGTTTGACCAGAACTTCCACACGATAAGCAGAAAGCACGTTCTGAGACATCCTCTAGGAAACGTCTGCTGTTGTGGGAACTTCGACACAGCGTATAAGCACTCACAGTGCAGAAAGCTGATAAGATTTCTGGTCATTTAAATGGATTTTTTTTCCACTGAACTTTTATAAATAAGAAAAGAACGGAAGTAAAAGCCACTCTGTTCAGTCTCCCTGTGTGGGGACACTGCTCATCCGGGCCAGAGGAGATGGAAGATGGTACGACCGAGCAAAAAGCACCTACGGGAAGCTCCTTCGTGTTCTGAAAAGCAGTCAGGTCTTCTAATGAGTTTTCTTGAAAATGCTGCACTCCCACAAAACCCACCACAACTGCGTGTTAAAAGGATGGCAGACACATGCAACAACCGGGCCATGGCCGCGAGCCCGCAGGCAGCCCGAGGGCCCCGCAGCCCACAGCCCACCCACACCTGACGGGACAGCGACCGCGGCGCTGCCCCCAGCCCCACGCAGAGCTCCGTGCCCCGGCGAGGCGGCGGCGCTCGCTGAGGGGTTGGCGGTTCCCGCCGAGAGCGGCCGCCCTCGGGCCTCGCGCTGATTACCTGGGTTGACATGGCAACGCCGCTTCGCCGCTTCCCGCTCCCGGCGGGCGAGGTGGCCTCCTAGCGACCCCCGCGCGAAGATACCGGCTCTCAGCAGCCCACCTCTACCGCCTCCCTTCCTCCTTCGAACGGCCGCCGCCTTCAGCGACACCAGGCCCGAGGCAACGCGGCTCCTTTAAGAGCCCGGCGTGAGGAGCCCAGCGGCCGCCATTTTGTTTGGTTGTTGGCCGGCGGTGGGTGAACGGGATCGGGGGCGGGGCTTCGTGAGGCCACGCCCCCACCGCTTTCCCGCCCTGCTGTCCGCCTCAGCGCGGGCTGTGGGAGCGGGACCGTCTGCCTGCTGATCCCCTTCAGGTGTTTTGTTTTAATTAAAGCCTGGTTTACTGTATGCATAACGAAGTATTTGCTAGTAATAGCGCTGTTGTTTTATATGTGCGATGCGTGCGTATCTCGTTTTAGCCTCTAGAATTGCTTTAGGTGGACTTTGCTGTGGAGCCTCGCGAGTAGAATCTACAGTACTCTGTTTGGCCACGATGAACTCAACAGGAGACACCTAAATACACATCATTTTCATACAAGTGCTTAAATAAAGGTCTCCTAGCAGTCCTGGGCTGTGTGTGTGTGAGCTGAGGGTGTGTGCCCAGCTGTGAAACAGAACCAAACCTGAAAAGAAGCATGTGGAAATCTACCATTGGAGTTTGTCACTAATGCAGGTTTAAAAACAGTATTTTAAAATGGTTTTGGAACTTGAAGTCTTCCAGTATTATTATTTTTTTTTTTTTTACTTTCCACCCTCACAAGCATTCTCACAGTTCATTAATTAGCAATAGATATCGAAGCCATTGATTTAATAAAATCATCACCTTAATGTTTTATAAGGTTATATTCCATACAGTGATGTCCTCCTTATCAGTGATAACGTTGGGAAGTTCTGAAGCCCACATTGGCTGCCTCCTGCTTTGTTTTCGTATTGACCAGAAATAGCTTTGTGCCAATCCTTCCCGTAAGGGCAGACCCAGTGTTTGTTTAAGCTTGGGCAGAGTTGCACAACTTCAACTTAATGTTTTAGGTTAATTTTTATTTTTTTTCCTTAGGTCCTATGCTTAGATATGGAAAGTCTTTACGCCAAAGGATTGAATTTTGGTGGCTTTTTTTGTTTTTTTTTTCTTTTTTTTATTTTGCAGATGCATTTTATGGCCGTAGGTGCTGTAGATATACCACCCCCTAATGTTTTCACATTGCTCAGAAAGTTGGCACAGTCAGCAATACCAGTAGCTAAAAGGAATACCAGCTACAGGAATGCCAGTAGCTAAGAGACATTTGCAAGTGAGGAGTTATTTCAAAAGAAACAACAACAACAACAACAACAAAAAAGGAAAACTTCTGATTGAAAAATATCGGGGTAGTGAGGTCAATATAATTCAAATGATTTTTTTTTCAGAAGAAAGTTCAAAATCATATTGGTTGTGTTTAAATAAAGGTTAGTTTTCTGAAGAGCAAGCAGAATCAGACTGGTTTTTGCTACCTCTGAAAAGGAATGTTTAGGCGCTTATCTAACAGGGAGAATGTTAGGATTCATTCAGAATTGCTCTGTATATATTACATATTTTAAATCCTAAATTAAAAAAAAAAGAAATCCTGACTTTCACTGGTCTGAATTCTGTGAGTTAATGAATTTGCAAGGGCAATGACATTTCAGTAAAAGCAAGACCTCAGTTAATTATTAATGGTGAGTGGCATGTATCACCACTGTCAGTGGCATTTTTGTTCCTCTGCAGCAGCAGTGAAATACAGTTTAATTCAGACTTGCTGGCATTGTGGGTGTGCTGATTGAGACACTATGGCTATTTTAATATATTTCTTTGTTTTAGTATTTTCTGGAACAGCTTTTAGCCAAGAAAAAACGTAAGTAAAACAAATGCAGTGTTTACTGGAAATGTTACTTGATGGCAGCTGTCTTAGGTGAATAGGTGCAGAATTTCATTAGAGTCACTACAACAGAAACTATCCAAGTCAACGTGTTCTCACAGCAAAACTCACTGATTTATGCTAACACTAGAAAAAAGGCTGATGCATCTCTAATTGTTCTATTTGCTGTCAATGAAAGAGGTAGAGTCAACTCCTTATCTGCAATGAATTCTTAACATGATGACAAGATAAATATGGAAAAAAGCAAAGCCTGTGCTCACCAGATCTTCTGTAGTGCCTGAAGACAGATATTATGCTGCAGGTTGGAGGAAAGCTCATATTTAAATGCCTGTTTTGTGGTTGTATTCAGCAGTGCTTATTTTGATTCTTCTGTTAACGGTGGTGTGTAAGAAAGGAATCAAAGTGCTCTTGGTGTTTCAGGAAAAGATGAAAGTTTATTGCTCAGCAGCACTTCATATATATTTGAGATAGGTTGTGTATTCATGTATTAAAGCCTGGTTTGTGGTTTTGTGGAGTAATGCATACTTCAATTTATAAAGCATTGAAGAAATTAGAGTAATCCTACAGAAGTTTGCTCACATTTGCCTTTACTGTAAATTGCCCCATTTATTCCAGTAAGAGCTTTGCTGGTGGGAAAACTATACAAGTGTACTGTTTGGAGCATTAACATTTTAAGTGTTCATTTGGGTTTGTTTTGGCAGTGTCTACGTAAGAGAATTGCAAATGAAAGTAAGAAACATGAAAGTATAGCTCCATTGCCCTTTTATTTTTTTTTTATATTTCATATACAGATATGTCCTTACAGCACCAAAAGTCTTCCGAGTTGGGACATCTGAGAAAGTCGTAGTTCAAGTTTTTGGCTATGAGAATGAATTTGCAGTCAGTCTTGCCTTAAGAAGCTTTCCAGATAAGCTTGTTGCTTATTCTTCTGGCCACATTTCTTTAAATCCAGACAACAACTTCCAAAATTCTGTAACTGTAACAGTAAGGAATTATAACTTTTCTTGACATGTTTTTATTGTTTCATTTAGTTGGAAATCTTAAGAAAAGATTATACTGGGTTTACGGTTGTTTAAAATGGGAAGGGAAGCCTATGGCCCTCATTCTTCAAATTGCTTTGTGTAATTTCTTTCATTTTAGTTTGTCTGAAATTTAAATTATATTGGATAAAGTTAGTGGAGAGGAATGAAATCAAAGTTAAATAATTTAATCAAATTATTTCAGAAACATTATCATATTCAATAACATTAAAAATATAAAGAGGAAGGAATGGAGACGTGTTTGGTATGGACAAGATGCCTCATCTGAGCATTCAGAGTAAGCCAAAATATAACTAAGTTTCATCTTGTTTGGCACTGATAAGCTCCAGAGAGACTGAGATGTAACCATAAACCTTGATGACCTGAGTCAGCTGAGGCCAAGGGGGCAGGAAGCTCAGCAGGTTTTACTGAAAGCTGACAACAGATTTTTGCTAAACTGTGCTCACCAGGGAGGTGTTACTCCAGGCGATGCCTCCCAGGGGCTTCTTCTCACTCTGCTTTTCTGTTCATCCAAATTCATCCCACTTCTTGACAAGAAATAGTGTAGAAAAAATACTTCAAAAATATTATAATATTCTTGAACTGTTCTCTCCCAGCTTCAGCCAACAGATTTAGCTGGCCCAGAGGACTCAGTCAAGTATGTGTATTTGGAAGCTGTTTCTCCGCATTTTACCGGTTTAAAAAAAATTCCTGTTTCCTATGAGAATGGATTCCTTTTTATTCACACAGATAAACCAATTTATACTCCAGATCAGTCAGGTAAATAATGCTCATTTCTCCTGGCTGTTATTATTATTTTTTTTGTATAAGCCAATGACATTATTGTCCAGGAATTCAGATATAAGTGTTCTTTAACTCTTGGCCATGTTGTATTGCCATCAGCTGCTATTTAATTTTTTAATTAACGGAATAATACTTTGAAATATTTGATCATATTGTAGAAATTAATAATTTCTCACAATATCCTCTCCTCTGGGTCTTTATCTTCTCAATTTTCCTGAGAACGCACTGAAAATCACACGCGTTTGTGTAGAGATAGTGATGGCTGAATCCTTGGTTTTGTGTAGATGGAGATTTTTCTGCTGCAAAAATGATATGCTAGGATTTTGATGATAAAAATTATTTTGCACTGTGATGATTCAAATATGAAAAAGTATTGGTGCAGGATCTTTCGTTGCTAGCATGAATAAATATTGTCTGTGCAGTGTACTGACAGAAGATCAAGTGCATTCCATAAGTACTAAATACAAAACTCTAATAAAGAAATAAGATAAAAGGTTTGGGTTTGGATGGGCTTGTTTTGTTGTTGTCTTTCCTTGTTTGTTTTTGTTTTAATATCAACAGTGGTATGACTTTGAGATCTGTTGTAATGAATCTTACAGTGAAAATCAGGGTTTACTCTCTGAATGAAGAACTGCAGCCAGCTCGGCGAGAAACGGTCCTGACTATTGTGGTATGTTGTAATTGAATTTAATTTCAGTCTGTCATAGATCACAAGAATAAGAATCCTAGTTATATAGGAAATTGGTGCTATGGATGTACAAGAAAACTGTTAGAAAAATGTTTTTGCAGGTAGCCAGGTATCTTTTAGAAGATCTAAAAAGGACTTTGCACTCTTAGATTTTTTTTCAATTTTGTGATGTGAAACTGTTACAGATCAGAGAAAAGAAAAAGCACAAATTATCCTTAATATCTAGGGAGACCGTTTGTGAGAGAATTTTGATAACATGATTTTTATACAGTTGTTTATTTCATTTAAGATAGAAAACTTATCAGTAGCTCCTGTACTGTTTTTTAGCCACAATAATAATTATTGTTCTTATAGTAACTTTCTAGAAAATGATGTGTAATGCACAGGCTTCCACTGAGATCACTGAATTAAGATTTTTCCTTAGAGTGATTTCTGCTAATTCTCTTCTGTTGTGATTTCAAGGATCCAGATGGAGTAAAAGTGGATATCATAGAAGAAAATGACTTTACTGGAATAGTTTCTTTTCCTGACTTCAAGATTCCTCCTAATCCCAAGTAAATATATTTAATGTTCTTTGAGAACTTTTGGCATAATTCTAACTGTTCTTAAAGGCTGTCAGAGTGTTCTTTGCTGATACACAGTGTGTGTAACTTGCAACTCAGTAACTTGTGACATTTCACATAATGTGTTATAATGGTATAGATAGAGAATTTATGACAAAGCATTCTCCTTTTTAGTTGACTTTCACATGAATTTTTGTCTTCTGAAGGGAAATTACAAGTTTACTGCCTTTGTTTTAAAAAATATGGAATATCCTCACTGTAATAAGAGAAAGTGAGAAGATTTAGTGGGTGAAAATACTGATGGTAAAACTGAATGGCAGGTTTATCATGCTCAATTATAAAGGAACACTAGTGAAAACTAAAACTTTCTACTCTAGATATAGAAGCACTGTCTAAGATGTACAGATTTCAAGGAAGGATAATGTTCCCATTTCATACATTCAAATAGCCAGCATTTTTCCAGTAAGAGCAGCACACAAAATACATGCCTTTACAGTTCTCCCTTTGGTCTTGAGAGGGTGCTGAAGATACACTGAGTTGGCAGAGGGATGCTAGCTTGAAAAGAATGTTTTCTGACCAATTTATTATTCATTACCCATACACAAAAATAATTTTGTATCCCTTTTGAAACTGAGTATTTGCTAACAGTAGATGGAATAGTTCTTATTTTTGTGTTATTAAGCCAAAAGATTACAGGAGCTGGTTTCATATAAGTTATTTAATGTAAATTATGTTTGTGCCTCAGTGCTGTAGTTGGAGAGAGAAGGACCCTAGCAGAAGCCTGCATGACCCTTTGGAGCGTATTTCTCGATTACTTTGTTTCAAATAAATAGTAGAATCTTCTCAAAAAAGCATTGTACACATGTAAAAAGTCAGTGCCAAGTTTTTCTAAGTGGTTATTAACATGAATTCTTGTTAAGTAGCAATTCTTTCATTTTCAATATGTATGTATTTTAATTTTAAAAATATAGTTTGATTGTTGATTTTTTGTAGGTATGGAATTTGGAAGATTGAAGCAAAGTACAAGAAGAATTACATAACTTCAGCTGTTGCAAAATTTGAAGTAAAAGAATATGGTAAGGCATGCCTGAAATGTGAATCTTCATTTTTATGTGCATTCTCCATTACATTTAAATATGGCAGCCATGCAATACAGAGTAACAAAACTCACAAATGCTTAAGGTAGCACAGCCTACTTGAACAGCTATAGGATGCAATATAGTGTCAATCAACTCAAGATTGTATGAATACAAGTTCCCTATAAATAGTTATTCTCAGTGTGCTGGTAATTTTGACATGGTTGCATTGATACAAAATGTGGAGAGGGCAGAAACAAATAACTTTAGGCTTTATAACTTGTACTGCACTGTGGAGAAGCTGACAGCTGTCAGTGTATGTAGTAGTATCTTTCTGGGTACCTTTTGGTAACTGTTTAAAAACACTCAAAGTGCCTTTATTTTCTACTCATTTTTTCAGCTATGCCAAGCTTTTCCATTGTCATAGAGCCAGAAAATAACTTCATTAGTTCTGATAAGTTTGAGAACTTCAGGATTGCTGTAAAAGCTAGGTAAGGAAATTTGCCTTTGATTTCTAAAAGGTGTATTTTTCTTTACTTCAAGAACAATTTTCTTGTGTTGAGAAGCTTCCTCTTTCCCTAGAAATCATATCATTACAATCCTTTGAGCTCTGCTACAGAATTAAGTGAACCATTTAAAAATTCTTAGGAAGTGATTATTTTTCAGTGTAGACATTTCTTTTCTATTCCTTGCTTAAAAAATCACTCTTCTTAAAAATCATGCTTTATTGCAGCCATTAGGATAGAAGTCTTAAAAACATATATATTGGTTTTTATTCTCAGCTATTTTTACAATAAAAGACTTGCAAAGGCTGATGTTTTTCTACGCTTTGGAATAATTGAAGGAACTGAAAAAAGAATGATGCCTCGTGCAATGCATGTAACTAAGGTAAGAAAAAGCAAGCCTAAATTGTGTAGATTTCACCTGCTTAGCTCAGGACTGATCCAATTCTTCCGAGGCTGGGGAGAATGTGTCCAAACTCTTAGTTTACACTAACAGTTATTTGGTGTCAAATTTTCCTTTGTAATCCTTCATTAGCCACATAGAAATATACTTTGCAATGGAAGTCAGAAGCAGCATCTCAAACAGGATGTAATTGCAGTCTGGTTCATTTGTTTACTTGAGTTGAAATTTCTGTGAAGTAAATTTTTTGCTGTCTATTACAGAACAAAAGAAATCAAACATAGGATCAATGTAGTAATAGCAGTTCACAGTCAGAGACTGGTTCTCCTTTTCTCATTTAGTCTGGTCTTTTTGATTTAGTCATTGAAGAATTGTAAATGACATCGTCTTTTCTAAATGAGGAGAGATATATCTATGTTTGGCCTGCATGCAGATTTTGGAAAATGTGCTACTGATTCTTTAATCATTTATAATTCTAAGGAAGAAAGAATTCTTATTTGTTAAATTCTTCTTTAAAAATGTCCGCCTTTGATTTTCTTTGAAAATAGTGAGCAGAAACATGCTGAAAATAGAATTTAGGTATAATTTACCTATCTATAATTTTAAGTTATTCACTGTAAATGAATTATTTTTATTTTATTTCCAGATTACAAATGGAGTTGCTGAGATCAATTTTAACAGTAAGAAAGCAGTGAGTTCTTTAGGCTTTCAAAGCCTAGAAGAATTGGATGGGTCATATTTGTACATTGCAGCATCAGTAGCGGAGTCTATGGGTAAGTTGCTTTCTGACTGGTTTCAATTGAAATTAATGGCTCTATGATGTAATTATTAAAAGAGGCATAATATTTTGTTAGGTGGCCTCAGTGGTGAAGTGGAATTTTCTGGAGTCAAATATGCTGTATCTCCTTACACACTGAGTTTGATTGCTACGCCTCTCTTTATAAAACCTGGACTTCCATTCTTCATTAAGGTTAGTTAAAAGGAGTATTATTGCACATTACAATATAAAACCCATCGTGTTACAGTCTTAATATTTTTTGTGAATATTACTGTAGATCTTAACAAACTTCAGATTTGCATTGATTGTTGGCATTTTTTTAAATTTGCTGTCGTAGAAGGTTAACTCCTTGTTTTCTGCTTGAAAAATGTCATTCTTGAAAGAAATATTTTCTGATGAACAGGTGCAGGTGAAGGATACAGTGGATCACTTTGTTGGAAACATCCCTCTAATTATCACTGCAAAATCCTTTAGTGAACAGATGGATGAGACAGAGTTGATTTCAGAGGGTTCAGAATCTGGGAGAAGAGAAACAAGCATAAATGATGGAACTGCTTTATTTGTTGTTAATATCCCACCAGATAGTAACCTACTGGAGTTTCAAGTGAGTTAAATTCTTCCATTAATTTGTTTCTTAGACTGTTTAATTGTGTATTTTTTCCAGTGTACAGCACATGGTAAGATTGTGCTCTCAACAAAGAGATTGTTGTTAGAGATTGTTCCCAATAATCAGTTATGAAATCTAAATGCTATAATAAAGCATTACTTCTATATTTAATTGTGTTTGAAATAATTCTGAAACAAAATATCCCAGTTAATAACATAGTTATTTTATAATCCTCAGGTGTTTTATTTAATAACTGAATTATGTGAACTAATCTCTGAGAGTGCCTCTTTTGTTATGTAGAGGCATATTATTGACATTTTCTGCTCTACTTATGTACATGCTTCTATACTACAATTTCTATTTGATTTTGTATTTATAAATATTTTTATTAAAGAAAACATATAAGCCTTTAGATGGCTTATTTTATTAATCTCTCTGAATAGTATATTACAAAATGCTTTTAATATTGTGCTTATTTTCTGAAGTGTAGCTTGCTACTTAAACTATTCAGAAGTCAGGATACGCAGGTCTTATTTCCTTCTCTGCTACAAAATTTTGTGGACTTTTAATTATCTTTTCAGGTAAAAACTGCTGATCCACACCTTTCAGATGGAAACCAAGCAACCAAAACCTATGAAGCAAGAGTTTATTCATCATTAAGTCAAAGTTATCTTTATATTGACTGGGCTTCAAACCACAAAATACTGAATGTAGGGGATTTCATAAGTATTAACATATATCCACGAAGTCGATATATTCATAATATACATCACTACAGCTATTTGGTAAGTAAGTGGTGTTTCCACATGAAATATTGAATTGTGACTGGATGTATCGTCCCAGGTGAAGGACTTCGACAGTCAGGATCTATCACCAGAGAAAGCATGCTGCTCACACAACTGTTCAGAATACTGCATACTGTCTTCTCTAAAAATGCCAGATCTGTAGTAACAACTTGTTACCAGATTCATGTTTAAATTACATGTTAAAGCTATATTGTTTTGAATTCTTGTCTGACATAGGCTGGAATTAAGAAGTAGTAGTGCTAATCTCAAGAGCTATTTCATGAGCTGAATCACCTAAGGAAAGGAAGACAAAGATGCATAGAGACAGCAGCTGTTATGGAATGAGGGAGAGAGCTGCCTTCCCTTGAACTAGACACACGTGCATTTTTGTGTGTGCTAGATTATAGCTAAATGAAAATAATTATTATGCATAACAGACATTCAACTTAAAATTTGTCTTTTTTTGTTCTCCATCATCTTTCTATTACAGATCACATCAAAAGGGAAGATTGTCAGCTTTGGAACTCAGAAGAGAATTAAAGATTTGGAATACGAACATCTGTCTTTTCAGATAACTCAAGAAATGGTTCCTTCAGCACGTCTTATTGCTTACTATATTGTGGGAGAACCTGCTGAGTTAGTAGCTGATTCAGTTTGGCTAAATGTGGAACAGAAGTGTGGGAGTAGTCTTGATGTGAGTAGTAAAATAGGCGCTGAAATTTGTGGGTTTGCATTCATTTTATGATCAGATTTTAACTTGGTATTACACAACTTCTTTAACACTTCCTTGATGTGTTGAAATGTCAGCTTTCAGATGCATTTATTTTGAACAATGTACTTTTAAGATTACTGACATTTGTTTCTTGTTTATAGATTAAGTTGCTATCGAGCAAAGAGACACATAAGCCAGCAGAAGTTGTATCACTTAACATGAAAACACAATCCAATTCCTACGTTGCTTTGTCATCTATTGACAAGGCAATATATGGAGTAACAGGAAGAGGAAAGAGACCAATGGAAAAAGTTAAGTAGTAGCCAAAAAAAGAAAGATAAATTGCTGTTTGGTTTAGGTTCCTATTCAAATCACTGTTACATTTTATGCCTTCAATAAGCCTAAAAATAGAAGAGAAATCTAAAATAAAATCTGTGGGTTTAATTCTGACAGTTCCAAATTATAAAAATAATTAATTTACTGGTAATGTCTTGATTTCCAGTAAAAGTAAACTGTGATTTTAAAACCAGATCTGAACAGTCTCATCAGAAACCTTCGGACTTGGACAAAAATAGGCTGCAGTGTCAGAGAGCCCTGTGGTCAAAGAGGCACATAGACTATATTTGCCTTTTTATTTCTTCCTATGATCTTTTCAGGTTAATTTTTTTATGGCATACTTTTAAAATGACATGGCAGTTACTATCATGTTCAGTGGATTATAGTGGTTTTCAGTCCTTGTAGAGTTTATGATACATGTAAATATTAAGTAAACATGCATATCACTGAAGTAATTCCATTCCTGTTGTAAAATATAGCAGTTCTTTGACACCTCAGAACAGTCAGATACAAAATACAAAGCAGTTTAATAGGACAATATTTTTAAAACTTTTAAACAAGCTAGATTGAGTATCAGGACTGTTATAAGCACACTTCTGCCTTGATTCTAACGACTTATTAGCTCAGATGTGTGCCACAAAAGCATGACTGTGTTAGTACTGGTGGTTGAATTAGTTCAATGTTTTTTAAATGGTATGCTTCAGCGTGTTGTGAAGACATTTTCCAGACTAAGGTTGCCTTTCTGCATGTCTAATTCTCTCATTTATCATTTGAAATATATGATCTATTCCACATTTTAGTTAGATGCTAATGTATTTATTCCTCAGATAATGCTAAAATTGGAAAAGAGTGACCTTGGATGTGGTGCTGGAGGAGGACAAAACAATGTTGATGTATTCCGAATGTCTGGGCTTACATTTTTAACTAATGCAAATGCTGACGATTCAAATGAAGCAGGTATATTCCCTGGTTTTAAATGTGAATTTTCTTTCCTGAAATATTCTCTTGTGACTCAGAGTACACTGGAACTTAAAAAATACTTCATAGGAATGTATGTAATACAAAATGGAGTTTTCAGGAAGAAAAGCACTATGGTTTGTGGGTTGATTATTGCAATTGACTTATTTTTAAGAAAATAGAACAATAAATGTAAAATGCCTCCCAAATCTGGAATGTGACTTTATGGATATCTTTTTAAGCAATCTGTGTTATTATCAAAGAGGTCTTCTGTTTTGTATTTACTTGATTTTTTTTTTTTTAAACAGGTGAAAAGTGCAGTGAAATTGTAAGAACCAAACGGTCTGACTTTGAGGAGCGAGTACTCAAAGAAGGTGTTCAAAAAGTTCCTTGAAATATATATTTTTTACAAAAGGGCCATGCCCACTGCAAAGCAAGAAAATGAATGTTTGTGTAGTAGTTTAAATTATTGTTATTTGTGTAATATAATAGAGAGACTGACAAAGATGGAAGATGGCATTTAATAGGGCCCCATTTATAAAGCCTCTTAAAACATATGCTCAATTTGCAATCAGCAGAATTTGAAAATGTAGCATATGTGTAGGATTTTTTATTTTCTGGAAAGGCAGATCTTGAAAACATACAGATCTACCATAGAGCAGCCATCACCTGCCAGTGACCAAGGCTGATAGAACAGCTTTTGTCTTTTAAATCTTATCATACTAAAGCTCCTCTAATTCAGAATTGTGATTAAGTGCATTTTAAAAAATACATGTTTGTGTTCCTCCTCAAATCTATACCTTCATAGAAATTCAGCAAATTTTAGAAGTAAGAGTTGCGTGGCTAATTAAAATGTGTTTGAAAATTAAAACTTTATATTAAGGAAGGGAATTGTTTTATTGCTATTTCAGCATCCAAATATAAACATCAAGAAATTCGAAAATGCTGTATGCATGGAGTAAAAGCGTATCCAGTAAGTGAGACTTGCAGTGATAGAGCCCGGCGAATTCAGAGTCATGCAAGGTGCATTTCAGCATTCATAAATTGCTGTGAATTTGCAAACAGACTGCGGGAAGAAGAGCCTAATAAGCTCCTAATATTGGCAAGAAAACGTAAGTAGAAGAGCTTTGACTCTTGTGTGGACATGTAGAGAAATACTTCTACTAGAGTCTGAATAAATGTAGAGGTGACAACTTAGTTAATCAGTTAACCCTCTCTGATTACCTCTCAGGATTTTTTCAGAAAGAATTGTGCCAGTCTCTGTAGACCTTGATTTGTTACCCCTACAGAGGGGTGAGAGAGCAGTTCTTTGTTCTGATAGAACTGCTGGAGATCTATATTCTATTCATCCATGTTTAGAACAAGCAAAAATGTGTTGTTCATGTGAAGAGAATTTTAATTTGAATGCTTAACTTGTAATCCTTTGCCTAGGCCTATAACAGCCAATGGGTAATATTTCAGGAAACATCAGTGGGAATGTGAAATTTCTTGTCTCCCATTCTCTCCCTATAATTGCTTATTAACAGATTAATCTGTCCAGATACTGAATGGTTGTCCATATGTATAAACAGATGAAGTGGAATAAACAGGTTCTTGATTTGGGTATTCAGGTACTTTTTTTTCTATCAGGACTAACCTGAGGCAAATAGACTTATAGAATATAGTGTCACAAAAGATATAGTGATTTTCATACCTTTATGGAAGGCTTTTGTCAAGGGTTTTTTTGGTTGTTTATTTTTTACTTGATTTACTCGTCTTCTACAGAATTTGAGGCTCTCTTGGAACTAGATGAGACAGAAGTTCGAAGTTATTTTCCTGAAAGCTGGTTATGGGAAGTTCATCAAGTTTCTCCACGGTACTACTTTTCTCAAGGAAATTACTAACATCAGGTTACTTTCCATAAAGTAAATGCTAAAATTGAAATAACCTGTGTAACTTTACACATACTCACAGTGTGTGCTAGTATGCAGTACTGTGTAGGCACGCTATTCCTGTCATGTTCTACATGCAGGAGGTGCTGTCTGGCACCCAGATTGAGTCCCTTTTTTGTTCACTTTTTACTTTGCTAAACACCAGCTTCCATGAAGTCAGCTAAAAACAAGCTTATTCAAACAAAACCCAGACTTTCAGTTCCCTAAATGTGCTCTCATCTTACCTTAGACACTGCAGTTCTTCTGTGCACCTACTGTTTTTATGTTGATCAGCTGTTGGTGTTAGCAAATAGTTAATGTATGAAAGTGCTGACTGTAAAAGAAAACACTTTCAAACACAGGTCAAAGACTTTGTCTATCACTCTGCCTGATTCGCTGACTACCTGGGAAGTGCAAGGTGTTGGCATTTCTGATAAAGGTAGGTACTGCAACCCAATTACGTTGTAGCCAAAGAATTAGGCAGTTTTTCAGTCTGGATTTTGTAAAACCTCTCAGTTTAGTTCCCATGCATATTCTCAAATGTTTGTTTTCTGGTTATAAAAGAGGAAAAGATGATATAAAAATATATATTTTAGGGAAAGGAAATTACTTCATTTCCTGCTATGAGGGTAAAAATGGCAGTGCAAGAGAAAGGTCGGTCTAGCCTAATGACTTGTATTTGATGGAGGCCCATAATAAATAATTAAAGAATATTAAAACATCACAAATAGTGAGTGACTCTTCCATAGCACAGCTGCACTGTGACCTGCTATCAATATCTTGGGAACCTGAGGAGAGGAAGAAACAGATTTTCCATTAGATATGGTAGTTTAAACAGAAGAGTTTCTTTTAGTTTTGGGAATGAGTAGAAGGAGCAAAAGAACTGCATTGTCAGCGAGTATATGAAAGAAATGCACTTGAAAGTGAGTATGTAAAAGAAAGTATGTGAAGAACAGGAAGCAAGAGCTTTGGAGAAAAAGGGCTATTTCAAAGTGTATTTTTAAAAATGGTAAATCATCAGTAAAGGTGGCAAGAATGTAGTTTATCAGAAGAGGAGAGAAGATAGTGTGATTTTATGTGTTTCATTTTGTTAGGTATATGTGTTGCTGCACCACTGGAAGTGCAAGTTGTAAAAGACATCTTCCTTAGCATCTATGTTCCTTATTCTGTGGTGCGAGGAGAACAAATTGAATTAAAGGGATCCGTTTATAACCATAGAGCTTCTGCAATTAAGGTAATTTGTGTTCCTGAATTTTATTGAAATATTAACAAATAAACTGAAAAAAAAGCACTTCCTCTACGAGTACCTATTAGAAACAGATCTCTTGATCAGGTTTCTATAGTCCTTCAGGAAGAGTTAAGTATGCTCTGCTATACTATGTAACAGTAAAATATGATCATTAATCATTTAATTTCCAGCCATTCCACTGACTATGATGTTGTCATGGACTTGCATAGCAAATTTGTCCCATAAAAGTTAAAATACAATTTTTCTACTCCAAATGTTGGGATAAGATATCAAGGGATGGGGTTTTTGGAATAATGTGCTCCAGAGCTAACAGGTTATTTTGTCCAGGGACCTGATGCAAAAGAGCTTCTTTTAATGAAGTACATTTAAAGTGAGATGCAAGATTACTGAAAAGTATGTAAAGATATCTGTGATTCCCAGACATTGCTAAGGAAGATGTGTCTCTAGTGCAAATAGCAGTAATTCTGCAGTTAGTAACACCAGTAATACTTGTTCATTCTAGACAGAAATTATTACAGTAATAGGATGCTCAGTATGATATTTCAGTGACTTTAGTATTTCTCTGGTAGTTTGCCTGTTGTGAAGATAAACATTTAAAATCTTTCAATGTTTCAGTTCTGTGTTAAAATAGCAACTGGAGATGGAATCTGTTCTTCTGGAGATTCTGCAACTACTGGAGCAAGGATGCACAATTGTGTTTTTAAGAATCTGGGTGCTGGTTCTTCATCGCCATTTATGTTCAGGATTCTTCCTTTGGAATTAGGGCTTCACACTATCAACTTCACACTGCTGACAACTGGGAGCAGTGAAACTGTAGTTAAAACATTACGTGTAAAGGTAAGAAAAAAATGATTATTTCTGATTTTCATATTGATTCAATTACAAAAAGAACAAAATATATGAAATCAATGTATGAATATTGCTTTATTTTAATGTTATTTTACTCCCAAATATCATGTAATATCATAGAATTAATTGAGGTGTACGCAGTGGAAAAATGTGTGGCAAGGTATTTGAGTGTGTGCTTTTTATACCTTGCATATGAAGATTGTCAGAAATATACATGTGTATCTAATTGAATAAGCAAGGAGAACATGAAATTCTAAGCTACTTGGTTCAGATTTCCAAATGCTTAATCTTGCTTCACTGAAAGATATTTTTTGGAGGGGAATCTTATACTTTCCTGAGCTTTCATTTAAATCCTCTGTTAAACCTTCTCAAATACTTTTAGGAAAAAGACCACTAACTTAAATATATTGTGGAACAATCAGGTAGAACTCAGCTTCACAGAAGGATGCAGAAGTCAACTAATGTATTTGTGTATGTAACAGTGTTACTGTTCTCTGCTTCTTTCCTCTTAATGCTTACAGCCAGAAGGCATTAAAAAAGAACTTCATGCGGGCTTCACTTTGGATCCACAAGGTGTTTATGGTATGAAAATTGATTCTGTGCATCTGTATATATTTTCTTTACTTCCTCATTTTCTGGATTCATGCAGTTATGATGCTCAAGTTTTTTTGTAATATGAAAAGATTGGCGCTTCTCCGTTCTGACATATTCTTTGTTGGACGTGTCCAAGGATGTCTTGTCCTTTCATTGGCTAGCAAATCCAGTTCTAAATATCTAGTCTTTGAAAAAATACATTCTCTAGAAATAAACCATTATGTATTTTTAAAAGTATGATGTAATGCTACTTTTTTCTTAGTGTGCTTGAAAGCTGATTAACAAATATATTAGTAATGAAGATGGAATGTATTCTTGTTTAATCACAGCTGACTTATAAACTCAAAGATATTTTCTCTTAACAGTAAAGACAAAAGTACAATTACAGTGTTTGCATCTGTTCTCTTTCAACAGTAGATATTGTTTGCATGTATATTTCTACTTTTCATGTCATTGTAGTTATTTCTGTTGCTATCATAGACAGTTGAAACATTTAACATGTTTTATCTTAATTCTCTGCTGATTTAGATTTTGCTGTGTTATATATGCATCTTCCTTTGTAGGTACAATCAAAAGACGACAAGAATTTCGTTATAAAATTCCACTAAACCTGGTCCCTAAGACAAAAATTGATAGAAGTGTCAGTGTAAAAGGTAAATTGTATTGAAGCTTTTGGTGTAATATTACTCCATGTTTAAATTTGTCTGCATTTATTCTTAGTTTTTTGTTTTGTTTTTGTTTTTTTTTTACCTGTCTAGAAAAGGCTTTGCAGATCACCTCATAAAAAATGATTGCTTAAGTCAGTCAGATTCTGCCCTTGGATTCACTTTCCTGATCATTTAAGTCAGTTTTGTTATTATTCTTTCCACAGGACATCTTATGGGTGAAGTAATTGCCACAATCCTCAGTCCTGAAGGTCTTAGTATTCTTACAAATCTGCCAAAGGGCAGTGCAGAGGCAGAGCTCATGAGTATTGCCCCAGTATTTTATGTGTTTCACTACTTGGAAGCATCGAACAACTGGCATATACTGGGTCCTGAAACCTTAACTTCAAGAACTCAAATGAGGAGGAAGATGAAAGAAGGTAGAAAAATATAACAACTTCTCTTGTTTCAGATTTGCAGATCTTCATGGACTTTGCTGAATAAGAAAAGTAATGTATCTGAGTGAGCAGATCTAATTTTAATGTCTCTTTTTGTAAATCTCTTTCTGCCTAATATATCCCTTAGGAATTGTAAGCATCTTGTCATTCAGAAATTCTGACTTCTCATACAGCATGTGGAAGAATGGGCAAGCTAGCACATGGTGAGTTGGAACTCTTTGGATTTGTATGAATGGAAAAGGTTTGATTCAGTCCTTTGCTTTCATACTATAGCTAATTTTTAAAGGGTGATATTTTCAAGTAGGACATGTAGCATCATAGTGAATTCATATCCTGAAGCATGCATTTGATCTCTATTATAACATTATTTATGACTAATTATTGCCCATTTGTTAAATTTAAAATTAATCTCCAATATCTCTTTGAACTGTGGGAGTGTATTGCATGCCTAAATCATAAATAATGCAAATTTGTCTAATCTCTAGCAATTTGAGAGTATCTGCAAATGAAAACAAAAATAACATATTTGATTTCTTTGTCAGGTTGACAGCTTTTGCTTTAAGGATTCTTGGACAAGTTAATCAATATGTAAATCTTGATCAAATTTCTGTTTGTAATTCACTTCTTTGGTTCATTGATAACTGCCAAATGCCAGATGGATCATTCAGTGAATTTTCAGATTATCAACCAGTGAAACTACAGGTATGAAAATTACATGTTTACTGTGTGTGTAGAGCAAGAACTAAAGTTACAGAAGGTGCAAGATTTTCCAGGCTGCATTTCACCAGAAATCTAGTCAGGAGAACTTTGCCAATTTTACCTCTTTGTAACTAATTTAAAGAACAGCACAACATTACAAATTTTCCTGTCCTCCCACTAAAAGTAGCTGTGTGACAATTCTTAACGTTTAGAAAAAATAAATGTGTAGCTTGATTTTACAATATTATAGACTTGGCTTGACAATAAATATGTTTTTTTTCTCTTTTACTAATGTGCTCTTATCTACAAAAGACTCCACATATTTTCAGGTAAAATCAAATTGATATTTCCTACAGGAATTTCTATTTCTTTCCTCTCCTAAAACATAAAAAGTTGTAATTATTGAAATTAACTGATCTTCCTATTTAATTATATTTAGACATTTTATTTTCTAGGGTACGTTACCCAGAGAAGCTAAAGAAAAATCTTTATATCTCACAGCATTTTCTGTTATTGGAATTGAAAAATCAATTAAAATATGCCCTACTCAGGTAAATAACATTTTTATTTCTGCCTGCAGTCACATTCTGGGATTCTGCTTTCTTCTGTTTTCTTTAACATTTGTTCAAAGAAATCAGCAGGCTTTTTTTCAGTGACAGAGGTTAAGATTAATTGCTTTCAAAATTGATTAAAGAACAACAATGAAATTCTAGATCACTTTATGGTAAGCTGTAGAAAATACTATGTAATTCAATATTGTCTTGATAGATGTATGTAACAGATATATCTAAATATACATTGTATATGTAAAATATATGTATACACATATATAAATGTCTTACACGTGTAAGCTGTAGTATGTTTATTTTTTTCAGAAAATCCATGATGCTAAAAATAAGGCAGGAGATTATTTGTTGAAAAATGCACAGTCTGCTCAAAGCCCCTTTACGATGGCAATAATTTCATATGCTTTAGCTCTTGTGGATTTGAATCATCAGGCTGCAAGATCGTTGTTCTCTGCTCTGAAGAGGGAAGCATCTGTCATAGGTATTGCTTATTAAATTCTCTCAAACTGTGTATCAGGCTTGATCCCCAAGTAGATTGTTCTGATCATTGGCTTCTAGAACAAATGTAATTTATCTTCATCTCTTGTTATATGCAGTGAGCATACCTCCTTCTCGACCTGCATAGACAACTTGAAACCTTTCTTCTGTACTTGTGTAGGTGACCCTCCTATCTATCGTTTTTGGAAAGATAGTTTTAAAACACCAGACCTACATGCTCCCAGCTCTGTTACTGCACAAATGGTTGAAACTACAGCATATGCATTGCTTACTGCTTTGTTGAGAGGAGACAAGAGCTATGCTAATCCAATCATCAAGTGGTTGTCTGAAGAACAAAGATACGGTGGAGGATTTTACTCAACTCAGGTGAGCTTTTAAATACTTTGTTGCCATTCCTCAAAAGCCAAAATCTGAGAAACCTTAAGAGGATGATATCAGTAGATGACCCCGCTTGACAATATCCTGTACATGACACAAGTACTGAATAGCTCTGATGCCATGGTTTTCTTTCTCTCTTGGAAACAAGTCTTTTTATGAAGTTCATTATAAACAGAAATTTGCAAGCTGATTCCACTGACTTGAGATAAGCTGAATGAAAGGAGTCATACCAGGAAGCTGTTTTCCCAAGTCAGTTATAAAACAGAATATTTCATTCTGTGACATGTTTGTTCTTGTTTCCCCAAAAAATGAGATGTAAGAGGTATGCAATGCAAGAGGGTTTGCAGGTTTTTTTTTCTATGCAAAAAACTTTATTAGAACAGAGTGGAATAGTTCAGTTGGAAAGGACCCATACAGACCTTTGAGTCCAGCTTCCTGAGCACTTCAGGGCTAACCAGACACTGGCAGATATGGGCCATCAAGCACCTCTCTAGGAAGCCTGTAGTGGTCATACTATATAGAACATTCCAGTTCATACAAGGCTCCTGATTTTTTCAAATTACTAAGGGAGGAAGAACAAATTGGAGAGAGAAAATGACTGGTGTTTGCTATTTACTGTTTGCTTGCCTTTTCTTTAGTGCTTGCATTTATTTCTTTAAATTGCACAAATATGCCTACGAGTATAGTTATGAGATAGCTTACCACAAGCTGGAGTGTACTGCCATGCTGCATGAGTTCTGCAGCAGGTAATGGTTACCAACATGTGTCATCCTGTTTAAGTTGCAGAAAATGAATTGCTTTGTAAAAGTTTTTTTAGTTTTATGTTTTCGTAAGTAAATCTTTAAAATCATTTGCTGACAGGATACTGTTAATGCTCTTGAGGCCTTGACTGAATATTCCCTTCTTGTCAAACGGCTTCATCTGGACATGGGCGTTAAGGTTGCATACAAAAATCATGGAGACCTTCATCTATTTAAACTGACAGAAGATAATTTTGTGGGAAGAACTATGACAGTGAGTGAATGGTATCTCTTCTGAAAAGTCAAAGCAGAATTCTGTATAATTTAAGTAGTTCTGTGAACTTTAAAATCACTACTAAATTAGCTTTATCTTTTGATGAACTGGTATTAATATGACATAGAAGGTATTTAAGGAATTTGCTTATCTGCTACATTTAATCATTTAATGTGTTTTTTTTAATATATAACTCATCTCTGCTTGTTCCTCTCGAGTTGTGTTGTTGTGCGTTTTGGTTTTTTTTTTTTTTTGTAGAAGCTGTTTGTGGCCTTAATTTGTATCTGAATATAGAAAAGACAAGCAGTTCATCTGGATTCAATTATATTCTTCACTATTATAACTATTTATATTTAACACCAATCCCTTAGGTACCTTTGGATGATGACATATACGTCAGCACAGGCAGCAGCACTGGCATAGCTACAGTAAATGTAAGCATGCAACCAGTTTTTTATTTCTATCTCCTGTTTGTTAATGTGAATGCTGAGAAAGAAAATGCTGCTTTTCATAAGCTATTCCATTTGTTGCCCTTACTTTTATACTGAAGGGATTGATGTCATTTTGGCAATGTTTTGTACTGAGCTGATGTACGACAGTATGTGGGCTAGTATTTACATTCATAAAACAATCAGGACTTGTTCACACAATACTTTTAATCTTCTAAACACCACCAAACAAGAGTTGTAGTTTTACTTGTCTCTAATTCCATTGTGTCAATTTTAGCATTTATATGCCATATTTGAGCATTGTTTACTGTTTCTATATTGTCCTATTTGTTTGTTTGTAGGTGAGGACAGTATATAATGTAATGGGTACTTCTGAAGAGTCATGTAACTTTGAATTGAAGATTGTTCCAAAGAGAGACGATGGTAATGAGTTCATATGGTTTTAAATATTGCTGATTGGGTCAATGTGGAGGTGGGGGAAGCTTGTTTTGTTTGTCAATGTGCTTTTTATTAGGAATGATACTAATGAATTCTTCCACTGGAAAGCAAATTGCTAGAAGCTTTTTTTGCCCTTTTTGAATCTATTGTCTTTTTGTGAATGGAAATATTTTTAGTGTATTTATGTTATTGCCTTCTTACTCATTTGTAGAAGTGCTATTGCAATTGAGGCAGTGAGAAATATAAAATTCTAGCAGAAGAAAGAAATATAATAGGAGAGTGGTTTGTGGTAAATTCTGCGAGGTATTGAGACTTGTAATCCAGCTACAACAGGGTGTACAAATGCATTCTGAGCTTTTGCTATGAAGTACTTTCAACAACTTTAGTACATGATAAATCATATTAAGCATTAAAGCTGACATTTTACCCATATTATAAAAAACTTTGGTATTATTTGTTTGTGACTAGACCATGTGTTCATATGAAAAATAGCTACCAAAACAGTTTTAAAACCCTCTTTCAATTATGAGAACAGTTTACAAGAATTTGGGGTTGCTATTTCTAAGAGTTTTCAAATCACTTCTTTGACTCTACTTGATTTAAAAGGTTACAGAGGAGAAGATGGTGAGCCACTTGGGCGTTTAGAGGCTTGTGCAAAGTAAGTACAGCTGGTGGGGGTTAGTTGGGTAGTTTGTTATTGTTTCTGCAGTGACTGAGCCAGTGTTTTGCTTTTAAATGTTTCATTTAAACTCAATGCTGGTTCCAAACATCCTGGATTGCTGAACATTCAACACTCCTATTTGCAAAGGAGTAATTCCCATCTGTTAATGAATTTGAGTTCTGCAAGGAAATATATTGAGGCTCTGGGTAAAATACTGAATTTTCTCTAAGAATGTTATAAACATTTTCTGCTCTTATATTATTTCTTAGTTATTGTTTTCATATTACATTGTGACATTTATATATATATATATATATATATATATATATATTTTTTTTTTCCCAAGAGAGATTAAAAGGTATTTGTCTGCTAATCCTCCCTTGTTAATAATAACATCTGGTTTTCTGATCTTGTTTTCTTCATTTTTCTCTATGCATTTGTGTAAACAGTAATAGAGACAAAGGTCATTATTCTTTTGGGAAATAGTTTTTCATTGATTTATATCTGGGTGCTCCAGGAAAATAAGTATTAAGAAAAACTCCTTTAAATATGAGAACTTTCATAAATCTGAAATGATTCATCCTGAATATATTTCTTTGGGATGGTGTTATGAATGTTGATAGAATTTTCTTTGAGATTTTCTGAGATGGCACATTGAAGATTATTTTTAGTTCAGTTGTGTTTAAATAATTTTATTTTTAATATATTTTAGGTACAGGCCCAGCACAAGGGAGCCACAGTCAGGATCTGCTCATGTAGTGATGGACATAAGTTTGGTTAGTGGATTGGAAGCAAATACAGAAGACTTATCTACTGTAAGTATTAAAGAACATCTTCCTGCTGGAGATTTTTCTGACAGAACTGTGATACTTACTGTTCTTTATCTCTCTCTGATAGATTAGTAGTGCAGATTTGTATCATTGTATTTTCATTGCTGCAAAGTACTTCTAATGCTGATGAGAATAGTCTGCCTAAGTGTAGAGTCTGAATTTTCAGTAGAGTCAGATCACCTTCCTTTAACTGATCAGAAGCCAGACATCTAACTAAAGCTTGTAGTAAAGGTTCCCTCTATGATCACTGGAAAGAGAAAGTGAATAGACTGGCTGCCATTTGTGTTAGGATGACATTAATCCGCCTCTGGAGATGTTTTATCTGCTAAGTGTAGAGAGGATTCTCTTAGTGTTCAGACCTATTAGGTTCCTAAAATCTGTGAGATGAATCTCCACTGTAGCATCAGTCCACCTCTTACTGCAAGATAAAGGCACTCCGAGTTATGGGATTTAAATGGGATTCTAGAAATGGACACAAGTATCCCTTTAAAGACAGTTAGCTTTGTAACTCTTTGTTATCTTCATGCAATGCGTAAAAGGATAATTTCCTTTTTTTTTTTTTATTATTTTTTAAAGGCAAAAAAGTGAGAGTATAAGTATGAAAAGAGGCAATCCAAAGATAGCTTTTTAAGTCTCAAAGTTGTGTCAAAGCTACTGATTGAAAAATCTTCAAGGTCATTCAGAAAACTTTATCAATTTTTTTTCTGTTTTTCTTCCTTACAGCTTGCAAGTGGAGTTGATCAGTTGATAGCTGATTATGAGATAAAAGATGGGCATGTTATTCTGCAGATAGACTCTGTATGTTACCTCTATCATAACTGTAAGAACAACTTTAACTCTTTCTGTATTTCCTTTTTAGATCTTCTTCATTCATGTATGTGTCTTTCAAATAGGTGCCAGCTGATCAATTCCTCTGTGTTGGGTTCCGAATAAGTCAGCTTTTCCATGTAGGAATGCTAAATCCTGGCACATTCACTGTATATGAGTATCATGCACCTGGTATGTATTCCACGTCTTCAAACTCATGCTTTTTAGCTCTTTATACCTTTTTTGAAGGCTACAATTTCCCTTCTTCTTCAGCTTTCTAATCCTTGTTATTTTAAGCACAGGTAATTTCCGACTCACAAAATTTCAGTGCTATTTTCCTGGTTTCTCTATATTTATTTATTATATCTTTTTGGATCTTGTAGATAAAAGATGCACTGTATTTTATAACCCATATGGAAATGAAAAACTTATGAGGTTGTGTGAAGGAGATGAATGCAAATGCATGGAAGGTAAACTTTTGAAAAGATGTTCTTCTATTTCATTTGGTGGGAAAGTGCAGTTTAATGCTTTGGACAAAATCATTTTAAACCACAAGGGAAAATCCTCTTCAGAACGCAGCTAACTGTCCTGTAAAGATATACATTACTTGCATTTAAAAAAAAATAATAGAATAAAATAAAAAAATTATTGTTACACCATGCACTCCCATCAGAATGGTGTTTCTTGGTTACAGTAGCTTATCTGGATCAGGTAGAAGCTCGTGATGTTTTTTGGGAGGATATGTGATAATGCTGTCTTAACTGTTGTTATTTTCTCTCTCAATGTAGCTGAGTGTAGCAAAGTACAAGAAAGACTAGATCAGTCAATAACTGCTGATACCAGGAGAGAAGTTGCATGCCAGAATGATATTGCATATGGTAATATATGAATTCCTATTACTTATTTCTCATGCTTTTGCTAAAATTTAAGATATTTAAGAGACATGGACATGACACTGAGAGACATGGGTTAGTGATAGGACTCGATGGATGAGGTTGATGGTTGGACTTAATGATCTTGTAGGTCTTTTCCAATCTAGATGATTCTATGTGACTTAGGGGTTAGGAGAAGTTGTGGATCATCAGATAAGAGCCAAATAGTGTACAGCTGTAGTCATAATTTTACCAGAGTTTAACATAAAGGGATGCTGTATTTTCTGCCTGAGCATCTGTATGAAATTTGGAACATACTGCAGGAAAAAGGTATAAAAAAACCTTTGTTTTGTGTTGTTTTGCAGTTTACAAAGTGAACATCTTATCTCGCAGTGAAGAAGGTTACTTTGTAAAGTATTCTGCAACTATTCTCGATTTATATAAAAGAGGTGAGTGTCCTATTTCTGATGCATGTAACTATTTCGCTTAGAGCAAGCGCTGTTTGGTTGATACTGCTGAAGCAGATGACAAAAATCAAGAGTCAAACCTAGTCATTTCAGGAGAGTAAAAAACCCTAACCTCAAATACAGACTTTGAACATTCTTGTCCTAAGAAGGGCAGTGTTTTTGCATGATGTCTTTAGAAAGTTTTTCTTTATTATAGCTGTTAACAGTCCTAAATCGTAATCAGTTAAATATCTCTTAAGTGATAAAACAAGATGGACATATTCCTGTTGTTTTTCACCCATTTTTTGTCTGAGTTTAATCTACTGCTAATTGTTATAATAAATAGAAAATTATTTAATTTGTAGAAGGTTTATTTACCATTCTATTTCATTTAGCAATAATTTGCAGGAAACATGTTTTATATCAACAAATTTTCCTGTTATATAGCAAGTGGCAAATAGCTCACTATCCCATACCATAGGACATGTTAGTGTTTTCTAATACATGTGTGATGGGAAATTCTTATGTACTTTCCAATTTTTCAATTCTACTTCAGGACAGGCTTTTGCTCAAAAGAATAATGAAATTACCTTTGTTAAAAAGAAGACCTGTACTGATGTTGAGCTGAGCCCTGGAATGCAATATTTGATCATGGGAAAAGAAGCTTTAAAGATAAACATTGGTTACAGTTTCAGGTAAGAATCTTCCATCAGAATGTGCTGTGCTGTCAAGTGACAAGTTTCTGTATGTAATAAATCTCACATAATGTATAATGTGGTTTTTTTTAAGTATCAGTTCAACCAGCAGTCAGTCACCCAGTGTGTATTTAATTTAATTTAAAATAGGGTTATGAACACAAAGCAAGCAATTTCTTATTGTATTTCTTTTTCTATCTGATGGTTTTCTCCCCAAATCTTACTTCAAAATACGAGCATTTTGTGGTATTGATTTTTTTTTTAATTTTATTTTTTTTTAGATTCCAGTATCCTTTGGACTCCAGCACTTGGATTGAGTGGTGGCCTTCAAATACTGCATGTACATTTTGTCAGGAGTTTTTAAACAGAATGGAAGATTTTGTTGAAGATCTCATCATCAGTGGCTGTTGATCTACATGGAGAATTTTTTAATTAAAAATACAGATCACATCTCATTTAAAAAAACCCTCAGTTGTTTAGTAATTCTTCTAGAACTTAACTGTCATAATTATTACCTTGGAAAAAACTCTTGGCTTGTATTTCATAGCCATTTTCTTATTACCTGGTAATTTTCAAAGTATGTTTTTTAAGCTTGGATGGGAGAATAATGCAGAAGACTTCAAAGACTTTTGAAGTCAGATGAACTGAAAAGGAATGATTGTAAAAATAACATGGAAAAGCCTGTCTTTTGCCAGTAGCAAAAATGCCTTAGAACACTGAAATCCAATGTCTTGTAAAAACAACCCTGCCTTCAGCACACACACTAAAAAAGGAAAAATAAAATGGCTTATTAAATAATTTTGCTAAAGCTTTAATTTTCAGTTTCTTAGACCTGCAGCTGACAGAATCTTGCTTTTTTTACCTTTGGTAGTATCCAGGCACTTAACATTTTTCATTCAACATTTGGACAGAGTAACAGATGTTTAAATTAAACAATACTGAAGGTTTACAAAGTTAAGAAATTACAGATTGTTCTAGTCCATTTATTTGGACTATGCATTGAAACACTGCAGTGTATTTCAGACAAACAGATCCCACTCCCTGCAACAGAAAGAAGCCATTTTGGAAACCTACAGTTCATATTCAATAGGCTGAAACTGTTACAGGCTCTTCACTTTTTGTAGCTAAACAAACTGAATTTATCATGCTGAGAAACAGTCAATATTGGCCTTCAGTGTATCTGGTAATGTTTCAGTTATGAACTTATAATTGCTTGCATTGAGGGTAGTTACTTGCAAATTATTTTGCTGTAATAGGAGAAAATCCCCTTAAAATAATGCAAACTTTGTTAGCCTAGTGACTGAAAAATGGCAGTGTTAAATTAAGGCTAAAAAGAGACTAGTCATGCTATTACAATGAAAAGTCAAGCATGTGTTACAGGGGAATCTCACTCTGAGAGCTCGGATCTAGGGGTTCCCCTTGCTGCTGATGAGCTAAGAATTTCAGTCATCACCTGGTTTGGTAAGTCCTCTTCAGAGAGGTTATTACATGAGATATTAGAACCAACTTTGAATGTTCTTGTATGTGATGGCTTATTTTTTTTCCTGATAGTGTTAGTATGTCGTCCATGTATGTAGAGAAAATAGAACATTTTAAAACTTGTACTATATTTCTCACAGCTTCTATTTTATGAAGATCAAATTTTGGATATTAACCCTGCAGTCTTGGTTAAGAAATTGTTTGAACAATTATGATAATAAATAACAACACTATAATTTCTATTACAGTAATATGTAAAACTCATGTGGAATTTCTCAGTATTCATAATGAAGCAGAGTTCTGTGTTAAAGACTGCCCAGCTATGTCTATGGCACTGAGTCATGCATAATATCTCATTTTCCAGGTAAGTAGAGCTGTTTATCCTTAGTTTTTTCACCATGCTTCTTTAGTTTTGAAAGTCCTTTTGCTAGGAAACATTACTCCCCTTTTTATTTAGGCATCCATGTATCTTAAAGGTATACACACAGCTTTTGAAGCATTCCCAGTTTACCACTGTGATAGAAACAGTAGAGGGAGTGCAAGAACACAGTTTTGTGCAGCTCGTATAAACATTAGTGCTTTACTCCTTCACTCCCTAAAAAAAAGAACTTTAACAGAAATTTTTCAAATGTCCAACTACTGAAAATGCTCTACTCATTTCCTAGTGAATGAAAAACACAAGTACTTTAGTATATAGAGCTCTGAAGTTGATTTTGTGTTAGCAGGAAATACCACTTTCACCTCCACAGAGATCTTTGTCAACAAATCCACCACAGGACAGGAGCTGTGATCTTGACACTAGCTCATTTTTATACTCTGAATTCTTGTTTAAAAAATAAAACAAGTCTGAAAAAATATTTGTGCCATTCATTTGCATTTTAAAGCACAGTAGACTGAATCATTTACAACAAATGTCAATTTGATAATTGAATTTGACTACTAGAACTCTTGCCTTGCCTCCAGGAAAGTAGCAGATAAAGGGCCAAATTTCACTCTCACAGCTGCTGGCACAGGTCAGGTTGATTCCTAGTAAAACTGAGAAGAGAGTTTGATAGAAAGTGCAGTTGCACATGTTCATTTTTATCGACTAGCTATCCAAAAGCATCGTGTCCAAGAGCCTTACATTCCCTGTTTTCTCTCTCATAGGAATACCCTCCATCCAGACTGTTCAATATGTGGAAAGAAGACAGTCACGGCTGATTTCAATTGTGGTTCTGTGAGTACTTTTCTTGGATCTTCTGTACTTCTCTAAGAAGCATGAGAAGATAGCACTAGTATCTAATACTAATTAGATATAAACTGAAAGTGAAGTGCGAAATATGCTTAAAAACTTGGTGTGGTTGCCTAGGCATTCCACCTGTAAACCAACTTGCTTCAGAACTGCACGACATTGTAGTGAAGGTAACTATGTTTTATGAAACCCAATTATCTCCCAAGAACAAAACACCTTCTGGGAAACATTTCTTGTTTCTCGATACAGAGATGCTGCCTCAGCTGCCCTTGCTGAGGTAGAACTCAGTGATTTGATTAAAGTGCAATGATATCATTGTATAAAACAGGGATATCTTTGTCTACTTGACACATGTGAATTATGTTGGCAGATTTCTGTATCTCCCAGTCAGTAAGACAGGAGAAAAATGGAAGTAGCATAGGGTTGAGTTTAGAACATTCTGCAATGGTAACCTTAGTGATTTCTAGCCATATAGGCCCGAGATACTCAATTAATCTCAGAAAAAAACAGAAATTCCTGGAAAAATCCCCGTTTAGATGACTCATCTGTATTATAAAATGGGAATTACTTCAAGACACATTCTGTACTTATATACTTACCGGGGGATTCTGGACATCAGAAAGGCCCTTTAATCTGAATTGTGCAGTTTTTCTGTTCCTTGGTTGTTTGTGTACATGGTGTGCAAGTCTCCAAATGTTCCAGGCTCTGAATCATACTTATAGCTTTAGTGGTTCCAGAGAAATAAGCATTCAAATACTATATTTCTGTATTTTATCCTGAGGCTGGCCTCTGTGGGATTACCAGTCTGTCTACACATTAATGCACTTGTCCAAGGACTGTGTGCTTCAGTCCAAATTGCTTCTCTTGCTTCTTTTATAAGAGAGACAACCAGCCTTGGGTCTGTCGGTTCTGGCAAGACAACAAGGACCACTGGCACAAAGGCTTGTTCTACATCCATTTATTGGCACAGTGATACACGACAGTCAAACTTGTCTCCAGAAGTGAATTTCAGATTGCTTCTAGCAATGCACACTACCCACCGAAGTGAATGAAATGAGTTTTGTCATTATAATTTAAGTCTCCTTTAATACATTTTCAAATCAGAATCTGAATAAGAAGATTTGCCAGATGCCATTCTAATGTGATTTCCTCTCTGAATACTCTTGGCAGATATGTAAGAACTGAATTGGTTGAATTCTGAGATAACACAAATTCTGAGAGTTAACTAAGCAAGCCCGTTAGTTTTAAGTTTATTTATTTTGCTTTTTATGAAGTACTTTTCTGTACGTTTCCATTTGCATTTTACTAATTTTTAGATAACTGAATGTTGCAATGAAGTGAAGAAATCATTTTGTGACCAGGAGTTTATCCAGTTGATACAAGCTAATAAATGACTTGAACAGATCAAATTCCTCCCTGGTGTGCACGGTGACACGTGAAACCTGCACTTTTTTGGTCTGGTTGTGAAAGCTTTGTGCTGCACCAAACTACCGTGACTAATGTAGGAAGGAAGCCAAATGGTGCCACATTGCTTTATTAGCAGCACAGAAATGATTTATGTATATGATCTTTCTGGATGCATCACAAGGCCTAAGCAGACTGAGCCAGATTAGTTCTGCCAAAATTCTTCTGAGTTAGAAATACCCCACAGTTTTAGTAGAGGAATGCTTAGTCCCTGCAGCACGTGACAAGTCTTGCTTTTTAAAACTTGAGTATCTGTAAGTGACTGCCATCGTTCTTGGTGGACTGTAAAGCATACCATGTTAAATACCAGGTGAAAGAGAAAACTGCTTATGTGAGCCACTGAGATGCACTTTGGGCAATGTAATGCCATAACATCGCACTGAAATTAGCTTCTATCTTTGCATAGCAATAGAAATGCTCAATATAGGCTCCATTCTGAGCCTGTAGATGGGATCCTACACAGGGCGGAAAAACAAAGAGAGCAGTAAAATAATTGAATCTAATCCTCAATAAGGCTTCTTTCAAGTTCAAAGATCTTTTCATAAGTCATCTCAAACTGGCATTTCCACATGTCAGTAGCTTCACTTACAGTACGTGTGTAGAAGTAAGAAGAGATGAGAGAACACATACCTATTTTTTCATAGGAGTGAAAATTATTGTGTAATTTAAAAAATCCTTCTTTTTCTGAGGGCTGCTGATTTGGTTCTCAGCCATTGTGAGCTTTCTTCTGACCCTACCTGCAGAGGCTTATTTACAGCCCATGTGAACATTAACATTTCTGCATGTCTCCTAGAAAAATGTGTTCTTAATCTCCTGCTGAATTCTTACATGAGAACGCACTGAAATTTGGCACAGCCACCAGTTATTTTCCAGTAAAAAACCACCTTATAGCAGTTGCATGTGCTTTCAATTTTTAAGGTATTTAGTAATGTTTTCACCTCTAATTAGCAGAAATTTCTGGGTTTGGCTCTTTCATTCCCCCGGGAACCAAGAGTTTGGTTTTGCCAGTTGCTGGGTCATTACAGAATTCCATTCCTCGTGTTAAATGTTGCTTTTCAAGTTCTGAATGAACTTGGAACTCAGACCAGTAGCAACTGAGTTCCTGGAAAATACTGAGCCGCATTAAATGCCACAACTGTCATAAAAAGAACATTCAAGTTTAGAAAACAATCGCAGAGAAAGCTTGAGTAAGGATTGCTATTTTCAGTCCTTTCCTTTCTGTCCCAGGAAATATCAGTTACACACAGGTGCTTATTTATAAATAGTTACCCCTGTTTGGTAGCTGGAAGGCATGAAGTGCAGGTTATCCCTGTGGTTCAGACTATGATTCCTTCATCTGCTACCTGACAACTGAAATGCCAATTTCTGCTGTAAATAAAGCAAACAGAAAGTTATACGTGATGCACTTTGAATCGGCAGAGATATTGAATGACAAAAATTGGGGTTTACAGTGGAAAATCAGTTGTCTTTTAATGGCAGCAGCCCCACTGGCGCCACAAAAAAGGTCTCCAAAAGAAGCAGAGAGGCTCAGCACTTGGATGTAGTACGATGTAAGGGAGCCCTGACATGGACTTGCATTGTCTCTCTTGGTTTTACGACTAACCTCAACAGTGCATTCTTTCCACTGGCCATTATGTGTTCTCTGCAATTTAAACAGTGAGGCCACAGAGCTAATGGAAATCAGCGTTGTTATGATTATTTTGGAGAAGCTGTACTCTTTACATTTGATATCCAGATCTGCAGTTGTAGTTTCTACTACTGAGTCACAAAAAAAGTGAAAATCTCTTTTTAAAGAGGAAGTATTTTAAAAACATCTCACTCCCCCCACACATAGAGATTCATGTTACTCCATGCCAGTTTATACCTGATGAAATGTAATGTGCTTGAATGTTAGTGCTGCTGACAGGCCGGGCATGAGCTGCAGCTGTAACAGGAGAGCTGCCCTCACTCTGCCTGCACTGCTGTCTCATTCACAGAGACATTTCCTAAGCACTTTGTGCCCCGCTTGCTTGCTGTGGGGTTTCAGTGCCCGATTTGTGATGCAGATGTTCAACAAGGAGCCTCAAGGTTTGGTTTCTTGGCCGAATACCAAAGACACTGCTGGGAACTTTTATGTGATGATCTGATTTTGGAGTCCCATCACTGGCAGAGCTGCCAAGATACTTGTCCTCATGAGAGGACTCCTGTTCATTCATTAGAGCACTGTCTGCTTGCTTCTGTCTGTTCATAATACAGACCTATTTTTCTCTGTGCCTGCTTTTTCC